TCACAGCTTTGCCTGGCCCCCACGTCCAGGGTCCCCGGGTGTGCAGCCTGGCTGCCTTCCTCTTCCTCTGACCACCACCCTCCTGTGGGAGTCTAAAGAGAAGAAGGACAAGAGATAGGAGCCGGAGGGAGAGATGACGAGATGGGGGGATCTCAGATACCTAAACAGCTTTGGAATTTTTACTCTTGGTTATTTGCTCTTTGGAAAGTAGGAGTATTTTATTAATGTCTTGGATTATTTCATCAGGATTTTTCTGTTGAGCGGGAGCCTCCCTATCCCCTCCCCACCCCATCGCCCCTTTGTGACAAAAACCAAAACCCAAAGACAGAGCCATGGGATGCGGGTGCCCTCAGCTTTCTCCTCCCGGAGGCCCCGCCCCTCCTGCTGGGGGAGGGGCTAACTTCCTAGCGCTCTTTTCTCATTTGTCTTGGAGTCCTTGTGTGGGTCATTTTCTTGGTTCTGCTTATTTTGCCCTATATCAGTTCATACAAACTCGTCCCATGTTGCGCTGAGCTTCTCACGGTCATCATTTCTAACTGCACCCTAATATTCCCTTCCATTCTGTACTACGGGTTGGCTTTTTAAAAAAAACCCATTCCCCAATTGATGGAGACCCACATTATTGCCAGTTCTTTGCCACCACAAAGAATGCCACTGTGAATGTTTTGGTTGGATCTTGGCTTCTGTCTTTTGTTCCGTCTTTAATAGAAGGTGATACTCCTTTGACATCTTCTTACAGAGTCCAAGACGCTAACTAAAGCTAGTCCCAAATAGACTAGAATGAGCACGTTTTCATTATGGTTTGTCATGTCTGCTTTACCTTCTATTTGCAAAAGACTTTTCCTCAAAATTAAATGGTCTTGGTCTGTAGGTACCCATGTGATACCCCTCTGTTGAAGAAATAAAACCCACCTTGGGAGATTAGAACAAGCCTAGGTTGATAGGACCCTCCTAGTGGTGTTAGTACCAAAGATCACGATGGCAGCATGCTCTGAGCGGCTTCCAGAAAGCCTCGTGCCAGTCTCTTCGAAGGATGCCATCGGTTGCCATGGGTTCAGCTATCTCCTCCTTCTTCCAGTCACTGGTCACACGTCCACAGCCGCTGCTGTGTGTCCTCTGTAGGGTTCCCCCAGGCACCTCAGACCCAACCTGTCCACAACTGACCTCTGGCCCTATCTCCCCCAAGACTGCCTAGGTTCCTTGCCCCCCAGACTCATAATTCCAGAGGTGTGTTCTAAGCTTGCCCTCTCCTTCCCCTCCTCCCAGCAGTTCCAGCATCACATCATGTCCCTCGGGTCTGTCCCCTTGCCAGGCACCACACAAGGGCAGACAGGCCCTCATCAGGTGCCTCTTCTCTGGTCGACCATCATCGCCTTCTCATTTGTCGTCTTGTTTCCATTCTATCTCTTCTGCAGTCCATCTTCCTCACAGCTACCAAGGACCGTCTTCCTCAGGTACAGACAGGTCTGACTGAGTCACTCTTCTGCTCAGAAACCTTCTGTGGCTCCCCATGCTCTGACCTCCTTCCCTTGGCATTGGGCCCTCCATATTCTGGGCTCCCACCTACCTTTGTAGACTTAAGTCATACTCCTCTTCTAGGGTTTAAACAAGGTTTTAGGCAGGGGAGATTAATTGTTCTCTCTTAATTTCATGCATTTGCACAAAATGGCTCAATGTCTCCAGGCCTGGAAGGCTGCCTTCTCATTCCCTCCTTTTAGAATTCTTGGCTTTCTTTAAGTTTCAGCTCAGGGGCCCAGCGCAACCCTCCCATTCCCCCTCCCTGGTCTCCCTTCCACCTCTGTCTTCCTCGTACTGATGTATCCTCCCAGTACAGTGTAAGCACTCTGAGGTCAAGGACCCTTCAGTCTATGTCATTATGTCTCCGATGGCTTGTGTTTTGTTCTTGAAGAGGACCATGACATCAGGGAGATGATGACATGACTTGCAATTGACTTTTATTTGAGTGAGGGAGGACTGTGCAAGGTCACCAGCCTCACCTTTCTCCTCCAGAGCCATCTGGGTCCCAGTGGCCAGATACTCATCGGGACCACTAGAGATGGCCCAGGATGCAATGGGAGACCCTGGCCCTTTTCAGGAAATTTGCCATGCAATGATCGAGCAGCTTGGTGGTGCAGTGCCTAGAGCCCTGGGCTCAGAGTCAGCAAGACCCGAGTTCCAATCCAGCCTCAGACACTTATTAGCTATGGGACTCTGAGCACATCATTTAACATCCCTCAGCCTGAGTTTCCATATCTCTAAAATGGGGATAAAAGCACTGAACTCCCAAGGCTGTTGTGAGGATCAGGTGAGATGTTTGTGAAGCACTCAGTGCAGTGTCTAGCGCACAGTAGGCACTCTTAATAAATGCTTCTTCCCTTCCCTTCCCCCTCCCCCATCATTATTGTCACTTAGCCTGGAGAGGATAATGCTAAAAGCAGACAAGGATTCTCTTCCAGTATCTAAGGGGCTCTCATGTGGCAGCTGGGGGCTAGGGATTCCAAATAATGACTTCCTTCCTGTTTCCTTGTCGTGAGAATCATATGAGGGCTGTGCAGAGCGCTTTACGAGTCTTGAAGGCTGGGGTGCACGTTTGCTCACGTTATCATCATCAGTATTGTTGTTATTATTGTTCGCTCATTAGTGGGGAAGTCACTGTAAGATTGTCTAATTCTAAACTCACCTCGTTAATTTAGCAACATAAAAATATTCTGTACTTTGGACATAACATGATCCCATTAGGTATAGAAAGTTTAAAGTACTGTTTCCTTGTACACGGATTGCAAACTTACTAAATGGATTTACTTTTATAATTTTAAATTTTGAGGTAGAAGGAAAAAACATCTAGCTTTGCTCCACTGTTCTTTTCTTTTGGACCATTTCTTTTCTCTGCTGGATCCTCTAGACTCCGGGAAGGGTTACTGAACTCTAGGAGTTGGCAGGTGGGGCTTGAAGGGAAGGGAGCGTTTGATTAGGCACGAGGGAGGTCAGGAGGGTGTATGTGGCAAAGTCCTTTTAAGAATTTTGGGAGGAGAGAGAGATGAACTAAAGAGTGGGAAAGGGGAGAGAACGGCGTTGATTCCCAGCGAGCCCCAATCTGACTCCTGTCGGCTTAGAGTAGACTGGCTTAGGATGGAGGCAGTCTCCGTAAGACCTGAGGACAGGCCGCTGTTTCTCTGCCCGCATTCTGGGCGGTAATGGTGACAGGGCAGGATGCAGATTGAATTGGTTTTTCTATGGAAATGGACCTTGAAGGGGGGGATTCTTTCATTTCCTTCTTTCTATCGCCTTCGTGTACAGTTGCCTCCAAGTGCTCTATTAGAGGGTCTGAAGAAGCTGCTGCTCTTTTTTCCTTGTTCAGCGTGAAACTATCAGAAGGGTTTATGGAGGAGAAGGAGCATCTGGAGCCATAGGAAATTGGTTTGGGCAACTTTGAATGTGCTCCTTGCTTCTGTTTTCTCCCCAGAGCAGGGCTGGCAGGGTTCTTAACCTGTTTTGTGTTCTGGGGAAGCCTAGGGAGCTCTTCTCAGAATCACATTTTTAAATTCATAAAATGAAATACACAGGATTGCCAAGGTAACCAATTCTACTGAACTACAGCGATCTCAATATTAATGACAACAAGGTCGGCACCCTAGGCTAAAGGTACCGTGAACAACCGTGAACACCTACATGAGTCCCGTGCCTCGGAGACGATGGGTGACCTCCTCCAAGCCGTTCCATTTGTCCGTCCTCCACCTTCTGACAGTCGGGGGATTTGGGCCTAGGATTTTGAGAACAGTTGTGGGTGAAGTAGTTGCCAGCAGATCTTAGAAAAAGAAGGACTATGGCTTGTCTTCAAATCTGATGTTGTGTGCTAAATGTTTCCACATAAAATGTTTTGTCATTACTCCTGGAAGAAGTGAGGGATTTTCTCCTGGATGAATACTCTGTCTTGTTAGGGAAAATAGAACAATTTTAAGCAGAGGCTGGAAACTAAAGCTGCTGTCCAGAAGATACCAGGAGAGCCCCCAGACACAGGAAGGCCATTCAAAACCCAAGATGCGATTTCAGGGCTTGGTGCTTGGAGAGAGAACTACCTAGTCTGAGACGCCCTGAGGTTAATCGCGCCATTGTTCAGGGTAGAGTGCAAAGCGGACTCCTGGTTTGAGAGTCAGACCCTTCTTTGGCCCACCTTTAGCAGTGCTCTGACCCATCATTGACAGTCATTGACATCCCCTCTCCTTTCTCCCCCTTCCTCTCGGGGTCAGGGCATTTCTGTCTCTACATCTCTCATACCTGTCCCCTTTGCTTCCCTCACACAGATGCCACCCTTTGTCTGGTTCGTTTCTCTGTGGCCTCCTCACTAGGTTCCCTGCCTCCAGGCTTCCCTCCCAATCCATCCTCCATCGAGCTGCCCAAGGGTGGTTTGTGAAGCACAAGTCTGACCATGTCACTTTCTTCTTCCTCAGTAAATCTGGATGTCCCTCTAGAGCTGGCCTGGCTTTCTCAAGAACCACTGTTACCTTTCCTTTTCGGACAGTTACTGAACTGTTGGGTGAAGGGAATGAATCAGCACAACTTTTGATAACATCGCTTGCTGTTCTCATGGACAAGATGGAGAGAAGTTGACTCTGTCATTGTTCCCACAGAGATTTACAGCTTAAGCTCAGTCACCACAAACTCATTTGTGTTGCTTTGTAAAGAAACAAATCATGGTGTTAGAAGGAGCCTTGGAAATCAGGCAGCCCAGTCTTTTGTTTTGACAGACAGGGAAACTGAGATCCCCAGAGGCCAGAGGTCAAATAGTGGCCACATCAGAACCAACATGGGTCTAGGGCTCCCGTCACTCTGGCACTCAGCCTTTCTTAAAGGTTGTGCTGGAGGCCTTCTAGGGCAGTGAAGAGGCGATGTCTTGTCTTTGGCATCTCCCAGAATGTCGAGGAAAGTGTTACTTACACAAGCACCTATAAAGGCTTGTTAAAGGAAAAAATGCTCATGGAAGTTTAACATTTTTCTTATAGGTAGCTCTCTAACAGTTTTGGCCTTTGGAGCTTCAAACACAGAATTGTACTGGTGACTTATCGAGACATTCCTTGTCCATTTTCTCCGAAGTGGTAAGTTTATTTTTCCATCGTTCATTAGTGTTAAGTTGGGTGTTTTTTGGTTTTTTTTAACTTTCCATTAAATAAACTTTTAAGAGGCATACCCCTGTTATCTTAAAACTGGTAACGGCCTTTTGCTTTCGTCTCTTTATTCATTTGGCTTGCTTTGGCCTTGGGGTGCCATTCCCTTCATGTAGGGGACTCCCTGCTAATTGCAGATCAGGCTCTCCTGTGACGTGGGCCACGCCAGGTTGCTGCTGAAAGGTTAAACCCGTTGTCCGATGTCACCAAGCCAGGCTGCCTCTCCTTATTAGATTAGTGATTGTGAGAGGAGTAATGATTATCCTCATCATCGAGGTTCCCGGTTATGAAGCTTTGGTAAAGTCCTTTCCTCACAGCCACCCCATGACAAAGGAAGCAAAGGGGGAGGTAAGTGGGGCTCGGAAAGGCTGAGAGCCGCCCGGCGTCACCAGCGTGGAAAGGTCACCTCAGGGGGCAGAGTTCGCTCTCAAAGCCCCTTTCTTCAGGCCCATCCGTAGCTCCCCCTCCTTGGGGCTTTCTCGGCCTTCCCAAGAGGATTTCTTGTCACTCTCCTGGAGGAGGATTTAGGAGTGTGGTGGAGTAGGACGGTCAGCCCCAGCTCCCGTTGACTCTTCCCTCTTAGTGCCAGAGACAGTAAGTTTGGTGAGAAGCCAACAGCAGAGCCAGGAACCAGCAGGCGATGTGTCCCGTGCAGTGGACAGAGCTCTACCTCCTTCCCATTCTCCCATTTGAACCTCACAACAGCCCTTAGGGGTCAGTAGAAGTATTATCACGGGTGAGAATGCTGGGGCTCATTTTACAGGTGACAAAATGAAGGCTCAGCCGTGTGTCCTGCCCAAGCCCATGAGATGGTAAAGAGCAGGGTTGGGACCCAAATCCATGTCTTCTGACCCCAGACTGAGTTCTCTCTCCTCCTTTCTCCCTCCCGGCCTTTCTTCTTTGTCAAGAAACTGCCACAAATTTCCGGGCACACCATTTGGGGCCATAGCTTCAGGAAGGCTCCTTCCTCATGGGGTGAAGTCCAGTTTCCCCGACCTCTCTGAGGGGCAATGGGAGAAATTCGGAGGAGGATGGAGAGGCTCCTTGGAGCAAGTAGTGCCACCCCCAGCACTCCTAAGGGGGCTGGAGGGCTGGCAAGCGACACCCCGGCTGGCCCCTTCAGGGCTTCTGAAGCAACACCATCTTCCACACATGGATAGTAAGTGCTTGCTTTGGGCAGAGCATAGCGCTGGCAAAGGAGAACCGTGCCAGGCTTAGTAAGACACGGCGTGTACCCTCATGGAGTTTAGAGGGAGCTATGGCACACAAATCCCTCTTCCACATGCATAACAATGTAGAAGGGCCACAGAAAAGTGTAAAGCCAGCCACGGCTCAGTGCAAAGAGTGGGGCTGGTCAACAGAAGGACGTTCCTGATGGGAGTAGACTAGGGCTGACGACCTTGGGATGTGCACCAGCCGCTTTGTAAAGTGCTTCCTGTACGTTCTCACCTGTGATCCTGGGCAGTCATTGCCAGTGTGTGACTGAGAAAGGACACTTGACTTGCCCACAGTCCCGTAGCTAATGGGGGAAAGAGCTGAAATTTGGACCTAAATCCATTCGTTTTTCTGCTGTGCCGCAGCTTCTGGAATTACCAGGCGAAACGTTTGGGCCTAGAATCTTCTCCTAATTTTGTCTGTGCCTTTAGACATTCGCATTGCTTGTGTGTGCACTGGCCCATGAAAGAGTTGACTGCAGCTGTGACCACTTGACCAGGTCATGTCTGATATTCCAGTGTTTGGCTTTTACTCATGTGGGCGTGGAGGGATGCCTCATCTTGGACCAGTCAAGTGATCAGCTGCTCAACAAGTGTTGATGGTAGCATTTTGATAAGAAAAAAATCAAAACTAAGGAAACTATTCCCGATTAAATCGTGGTCTGCCTTCATGACACATCACACCGTGAAGATCTGGACAGAAGAGTCCCCGTCACTGTGGCCATGTCAGGAAAAGTCCTGGCAGGTTAAAATGGACAGAGTTTGAGCCCTACACAGTGGGACTGTGAGAATATAAACAAGGCTTTAATTTACTAAGAAAGTTTTTTGTGTCTTTAAACTTGCTTTTAGGAATGGGGACTATTTAAAATATCATCAGTGGACTTTTTCTCAGACAGGCTACCGGGGATGCGTGTCTCTGTATTTAGCTGAACTCAGCTTTGGAAAACAAGCAGCCTGTTGCCAGGATTATACACAGATTTCTAGTTGGAGAAAAGCAATTTTGAAAAGCTTCAACATGTTGGAAAAAAGCTCCAGAAGCCGGTTTCTGTGCTACATCGTGACGCCTCCCTTATCGACTCTACAAACATCTAGAAAGCATCTTCTGTATTCAGGGAGCCAGCTTACGGAGACGGCTCTCCTCGGGAGGCCCGCGGCAGCTGGAATGCGACCCCGCGGCCCTGGAAGGCTCTGCCAGCACAAGGCCAGCTCTTTATCTGCTTCTGAGACCACGAGTCGGTGTCATCCGTAGAGCTGGCAGCCGGTGACCTAGAGGAAAAGGCAAAGCAGCTATCAGCCTTGGCTGGCACCCCAGAGTTACCAGGAGTAGAAACCAAAGAAAGAAGGGACTGAGAACCACCCAGTGTTAAGACCATCTCTTAGTGTGAACTTAGATCTGAGCACACGCAGGGGGCAAGCCTGGTCTACTGACCTGAGATCTGGTACATGCTCCTAGAGGAAGTGAATTGGTGCAGTCGGGACATTCTTGGCATAAATGAGCTGGGACCAGGTGACAGTAGGAGATGGAAACAGATGCCTCCAGGCTAGAGGCAGAGGAGAATTCCTGGTACATCCCAAGGCAACAAGAAATGTGATTTTGTGGGATGCTTCTTCATGTCATGGAGCCATGTGCACTAGAAGTCTCTGCAGAAAGAGCCCCTTGAAAATAATTCCAGCATCTATATCATCTTCCTTTGTAGAGAATGAAGAGAGAGACACAGAGAGAGAGAGAGGGAGAGAGAGAGAGAGGGAGAGAGAGAGAGAGAGAGAGAGAGAGAGAGAGAGAGAGAGAGAGAGAGATGGAGAGAGAAATCCCATGAAGAATTTGATAAGACCCTGCAAATTAAACCAACATGAAGGTGGAGGTAAGTGAGGTCTGGGGAAAGTAGTCTGGAAAATACGATGCAAGAGGAATGAATCTGAGAGTTCCAAGATGGGTAGACTAGCCAGAAGCCTCAGCCCTGTCCACCATGACGTCTGCCTCTGGTCCAGGAATCGGAAGGATGGCGAGCCTGGGCGAGATCACCAAGTGAAATTGTGTCTTAACCCATAACGAGCAGGCTCGTTAGGGTAAGGGTCAAAATTTATACCGAGCTACAAGAAAGAATAAGGCTGAGAAAAAGTTTGGGGATGCAATGAAAGCGGGTCCACCTTGACCTATATGAACAAATTATTGATTCCAGAAAGTGGGAAGTGAATGAAGGAAAGGACCTTGATGCCAATTTTAATTTCGCATACCTGGAATGCTTTCATCCCTGACCTTTGCCTCCCAAGCTCAGCTTGTGTGCCCCCCCACCAGTGTCTGCCTCCCCAAAATTACTTTGTTATTTGATATGCATTTCTATAAACTTGTCCATGAATATGCTATCAAAGGTCTGGTCACTTTTCACTTGTGGCAAGAAAGCATTTCATTTTTATCTTTGTATTTCTGCCCCCCAGCCCAGTGCCTGGTGTCCAGGAAGATTTCAATAAATGCTCTTTGTTTGAAGAGGAGGGATTTCCCACAGGGGCTGAGGCCATCTGGGCCGCTGCACTGATGGCCCTGAGCCCCACAACCTGGCCTAGCCTCCTCAGTGAGGGCCAGCATCACGCTAAAGACTTTGGCCCAACTACGTGGGAGATTAAGAGGCTGAAGAATGACAGGCTGTTGCATGGACAGTCTGTAGCCCACGTGTGTGTGCAGCATGTGTCCTGGACAGATACTTTTATTTTATGTAGCTAATGTTTAGGGAAACAGACTTATAGGTAGTATTGGTCACGTGTAACATTTTATGGGGATAAAAAATTAAATATCTGTTAATATTAAAGTTCAATAAAATCTAAAGGAGTAAACATTACATATGTGCAATTTAGTTATTAAAGAGATCGCAAAAAACATTTTGATACATTGTATATAGGTTAATAAAGAGACACAATCACTTCTCATTATGTTCTCAAAGGCTCATTCTCCATCTTGCAGAAGAGGAACCTGAACTTCTGAGACCACACAGCTAGTCAGTAGCGTAGCCTGGGTGCAGACTCGGGTCTCCTTATACTGTCAATGTCAGAAGGACATGAGAGAAATGATTATTTCTCTCTTATGTTAATAACCAATTATTGAATTAGGACTAAGGTTTTTCCCCTTTTCTATTTCCTCATTCAGAAATCAACCCCTGTAGGTTGTTCAGGCAGCCTGTGAAGTGCTGCTGATAATGAGATGGAAAACTTAGATCTGATTGAAAGGCAAAGAAATTCGGGTTTAGGTGAATCAGTGGATTCTGGCCTGTTGTTTTTGAGTCAGGGTGGAAGTGGATTCCCCCTTTTGTCTAGATTACCCTCTACAGGGTGGTATAGGTCAATAGATAAGTCTCTTTTGTTGAGACTGAGTGATCAGAGTCATATCTCCTAGACCCTCATGAGAACAAGCCCACCTTCATTATGATATTCATTCTCTCATTATTTGCTAACCAATCAGAGTTGTTTTCCACCCTCAGGAACACCTGCTCTTCCAAAGGCATATAAGTGTTGAGTAGGTTCCATGAGAGGTCTTTAGTTAGGGAGAGACAACCAAATGACCATCCTTTTATTAATTATTCTCTAGCATAATTAATAAAATGATTAATTACCCAGAAACTATGTCTCTTGAACTTTGTACACAACATAGACGTGAGCTAAAAATGCCCTCCCTTCCTGGAGGAACCAGTTGTTTTGGCCAGTGTGAGATGGCGGCGGCCTAAGTAGACAAGAGGAATCAGATCAGAGAGATGTCATGGTGCTCAAATCGGTAGCATTAAACACCAGATTTGGGCCAGCTACAGGGAAGTGGGAGTCAGCAGTGGTAGCCACTCTGGCATTTATGTGTTTCCAGTGGAGTCTGTTTGATCATGCCTCTGGAAAGGTCATCAGTCATGCTCTTACAGAAGACCATGCCCAAGATCTTCTCCTCTCTCTATGGTCTTTCCCCATCTTTGTGTAGACGCCTCCCAGGGTATCTATCTGTCCCTAATCTCTCTTCCGAACTACAATTCCAAATGAACTTCTTCAGTTCCAAATGAACAGCTGACTGCCTCTTGGACATCTCCCTCTGATGCACAGTCACCTCAGGCTAGCATTTCCAGAACAGAATTTCTCCCCAGCCCTCCAGCTTCGCAGCTTCTTGCCATGGCACCACCATCCTTCCCAGATAACAGCCTTAGAGTCAGACATCCCCCATGTCCCACCAGTTGCCGTACTGGTAACTCTGCTTGCCATCCGTCCCCTTCTCCCCACTTCTCCAGCCTGTAGCCTGATTTGGACTCTTACCTCCTGTCTGGCCTCTAGTCCCATCCCTCCCATCTGCCACATGATAGTTATAGTGACACCAGCAACCCAAATATGACCATGTCAGCCCATTATTAAAACATTCAGGGTCCCATGTTGGCTTTAGAATGAAATACAAAACCCTCAGCTTGGTGGTTAAAATTCCCCACAGTATGGCTCCCACCCACCTTTCTAGGCCCATTCCCCATTTCTGCACACAGGCGCCATTCAGATTAACCTCCTCAATGTCCCCTGTGCACCCTAGAACCTTTGAGCAGTTCTCCCATGTCTGGAAGACAGTCCCTCCTCATGTGTGCTTTGTAGGATCGTGAGCATCCTTCAGAGTACAGCGGAAGTGCCAGCACCCGCTGGAAGCCTTTCCTCGAGTGCCTCTCAGGTTATCAGCACTCTCGTGTTTCCCTGCGTCCACACGGTATCCCTTCAGCTCCTCGAGGTCCAGGGCTGTTACGTTGGCGTTTCTGTCTCTCTCACCAACAATGTGTCATGTTCATTATAGGGGCTTAGTAAATGCTTGTTTAGCGGCATCAAAGTGCTTTTCCAATAACGGCAGTAGTACCAGGCCATGCTGAGACTTTCACAGAGGACCCTTTCCCTCAGGGCACCCGTCAGGGAGGTGGCCAGCTCTAGCTCAGAGAGCAGTGGATGGCTGTGACTCACCTTAACCTCAGTGGTACCCTGCTCCAACTGGTCATGGCCTCAGCAAATCCACAGCACAAACTGACTTGTGTCTCCAGCTGAAACCACTGGTCAGCCTGAGTTTGGGGTGTTGTGTTTTTGCATTTCCTTCAGTGCTAGTTAGTAAGTACTCTGTCTCAGCATGGGTCAGAACTTACTGCTGGCTGGTGAGCTCCTTAAAGACCAGAAAGTGAGATCATGTACTGGGTACTTAGTGAAGGCTTGTTGAATTGAAATGGAATTCTTTTTACCCTGGCAGATTCTCCATTAAATGATTAATAGAGTGTATTTTACAAACTTGCATTTCCAGTACTTTTAACACTATTAAGGACACTAACTCGGTGCCAGGAAAGCATTTGGTGCTGACAGACTAGTATCTGAGGGCTTGGTGTCTGTTGGGTTGGAGGTTTTCACTTGCTTTGGGCTGTTACAGGTGCAGAAATCACCGGACTTGTCTGGGGTCACACAGCTAGTTGTCCAAGATTGCATTCCTGGCTGTCACCCCAGTGCTTTTTCCAAAGGACTGAAGCCCACAAGGATTCTTTGTTGCATAACAAAGCATGGTCCCAGGCCTTCCTCAAGGCCTGGTGGTGGGGCCACCGGAACCCTGGCATCTATGGAGAGGCATTCACTTTATTGCTGGTGCCCACGGGTACCCTTGGTGGGAGGGCTAAAGGAAGGAGACACTGGGGTATGGGCATTAGTTCAGGGGTGCCCATCTCCCCCAGGTTGGCCTTTTCAAAGGGGTTGTTGGGGGTCAGCTCTGCCCTGATGACAATGGCTCAGAGCCGTTGGCTCAGAACAGAAAAAATGCCTCTGTAGGGCCATCGCTAACACCTGTAGCCAAATGTTCCTCTTCTGTAATGAAAGTTGCTCTTTCTACTTCCAGAGGACTGTGAGGACTCACAAATGGCAGAACGTGTGTGTGTGTGTGTGTGTGTGTGTGTGTGTGTGTGTGTGTGGAGCAGGCTTCCCTCTTAAATGTTAAGTTATAATAGAAAATTCAGTTTCCATTTTATTGGAGGCAGCTGGGTGGTACAATGGATAGACCACTAGGCTTGGAGTGAGGAAGGCCTGAGTTCAAAACCAGCCTCAAACCCTTACTGGCTGAGTGATCCTGGGCAAGTCAGTTCACCTATGTTTGCCTCTGTTTCCTCAACTCTAAAATGGGGATAATAATAGCACCTTCTCATTGAGTTGTTTCAAAGATCAAATGAGATATTTGTAAAGTGATTAGCACGGTGCTTGTCGCATAGTAAGTGCTATGCAAGTGTTATTATTATTATTCATAGATACTTTAATAAAGAGTTTAGGGTCACCTATAGCAGAGTCTAATTTCTAGGTAAGAACAGAGTGTTTTTAATTTAAAATACTCACATTTTTCTTCCTTTAAAGTTGATTTGATTTCCCCCCTTGGTGTTCTGGTGGTCACGGAGCTGCTGGTGAGGATTATATTCCTTTGCTTTTCAGCTTTTTCACAGATTTTTCTTTGCTGACTTTTGTGGCTAACTGTAAGGAGAAGACACATTGCTGCCAAGATACGGACTTTTAAAAAACATGTAGTGTGTGCTGCGAGGCAGCCCGCTATTGTGACCGTGGAGGATCCAATCTCTTTGGGAACAAAATTGAAAAGGGGGCTAGTTGGAGCATCAACTGCTTAGCTAAATATTGCCAGCATTTTTCATTAGTTTATTTAGAATAGAGTGCATATGTTTTAACTGTCAGTTTTGAATTTAAAAGTTTATTTCCCCGCCTTTTTCCTATGACCTAAAAGAAAGTTTCAGTCTTGGTTTATGAGAAACAAAATTGTAGCATTTCAGATAATAGATTGCATCTATTTTTTCAGAACATATTTAATTGATACTGTTTGATTGTCCTAGAAGTTTCATTCATACCTATGAGTTTTTGTAGTTTTTGTTGAATAATTTACTGTTGCTCTGTTCAAATTTTTATTTGCCCCTCTTTCATTTCCAGCTTCACCCTATTGCAGTTCTGGGTTTCTGAACTCACTCCATTGATTGGCTGATTGAAAATAGGAATCGAGGAAGCATTATTATCATCATCATCATCATTATTATTATTATCTCTAGCCACCATTGTTTTTGTGAATAAAGATTATAAACCTCCCTAAACCAAGGCAGATACTTCTGGTGTCAACGCTGTGCTAATTAGCCAGATCATAAAGGATTAGGATTCATATTCTTTAGTAAAAGTAGAGAGAATGATAATAGCCTTGTGACTGAGCTATGATTAGTTTCCTTTAATGAAATGTGTTTTTATATATAATAATGTGTAATTTAAACATACTTATAATTAGTTAACATGTATAATATATATTATATATATTTATATATGGTGAAGTAAAAAGTGTTTTAAGCAGGCTCCATTCTATCACTCAGCAGCAGTTAGACATTCATTAATTCATTCATTCCTTGAAAAACGATGTTTTCCTTTTCAGCTGGCTTCCTTCAGGGGGACAGGATGAACGAATGTTCCGAACTGGCTTCTGACCGTCGTAGTGGAACCGAAGGTCAGAGAGAGCCGAGGCCGAACGCGGCCGCCCTCCAAGAAGACATCGAGATGAGCAGCGGATCCAGTGGAAATGAAGCTAATGAGAATGACTTCAGTGGGCGGGAGTCTCCTGGCAACGACTCTGACGAAAATGGGAAAGATTCCTCCATGTTGGTGGAGTCCCCCGAGAGCCACAAGAGGTCTGGTTCTTGGTTTCGGGGCCCTTCTCAGGCCCGGGGCCCCGGGTGGCAGCAGGAGGAGAAGGCCCGCTTCCTGTCCTCCTCCCAAACACCAGGACCCCATTTCCACCAGGTGTTGGAGCCCAGAGTCACGCCCTTCTGCCCCCATGGCTGGCTCTGCCCATGCCCTGTCTGCTCTGACTTTTAGACCCCCTGCCCCTTACCGGAGAACATCTTTCCTGCCATTGCTGACGCAGGCCACGTGGGCCATGACCACGTGCCCACCCTGCTGCAGACTCTAAAGGACCACTTTGGTTTTCTGTTTACTGTAAAGATAAGCACTCCCTTGTGTCTTATTTCCCCAAATAGAATGGGAAGCCTTTCAGTTTGTAGCCCAGTGCTCAGCACACATTAGGTGCTTAATACATGCTTTTCCATTCCATTGAAGATCACATAGTTCATTCAGCTCATTTTACAAAGGAGGGAACCGAAGACCAGAAATTAAGTGGCTTACCTAAGGTCCACCCCCACCCCTACTAATTACCGACTTTCTAAGTGTATTCCTCCGATGTGAGTCTTACGCTTGCTTGGGGAGGGGGAAGTATGGGGAAAAGCATATGATTTGTTCTGAATTTTGAATTGCTGTTTCATGTCCCAGCAGTTCAAATGCTTTTAGCCTGATGATTGTCAACTCTGACCACAATCCGTCCACCAGTGGGTGCAGGTAAATCTAATTTTTCGAATGTTCTCAACTTAGATCTTTTTTTTTCCTTTTTTTTTTTGGGTGAGGCGTGAGGCAATCGGGGTTAAGTGACTTGCCCAGGGTCACACAGCTAGTAAATGTCATGTGTCTGAGGTCAGATTTGAACTCCAGTCCTCCTGACTCCAAGGCTGGAACTCTATCCACTGCGCCACCTAGAGGCCTTCAGCTTAGGTCTTTAAAATACCTAGAAGCAGCGGAGGCCCGGGGGTGGGGGTGGGGTGTGTGTGTTTGTTTGGGAGGGTGGTCTTCCCTGTCCCTGAGGAGCGCCGAGCTGAATGCTGCCTTCATTCCTGTGCATTCTGACCTGGCAGCCTGGCGGGATGGGGGACTTCTCTCCACATCGGCTTCTGCTAGGGGTTTCCTCGGGAGCCAGCCACCGCAGGGAGCTGTTCTTTAGAGCATGTTCTGGATGTGGCCCCTTCTTCCGGGCCTCCGTTCTGCGGCTGGTTCTGCTACATCCGTTGGAGGCCTCCGGCCACTTTGTATAACTGGCCGGGTCCTCCACTCCATTGATGCTTCACACCCTTATGGCCCCCCCAGACAAGAGCAGGTTCTTAATCTCTAGTGGCGGGAGAATTCTTCAGTGTGGACCTACCATTCCGCTGCCTTGGTCCTCTCTCACGGCTAGACTCATTCTTTGGCCGCTGCCTCCTCCTCCTCCTCCCTCCTCCCATGTCCTTGGAGTTTCCACAAGCCGCCCCTTTGGAGAGGCTTTTCCCAGCTGATCCACTTAAATTGAACGGCAGCCAGAAAGCACACTAGTAGAGGCAGGTAGGTGGCACAGTGGGTAGAGCTCTGGCCTTGGAGTCAGGAGGCCCTGAGTTCAAATCCAGCCTGAGACACTTGACACTTACTAGCTGTGTGACCCTGGGCCAATCACTTAACCCAATTGCCTTACTAGAAAGCAAAAAAAAAAAAAAAAAATCCGCTTGGCTTCCCTGAAGCCACAGCAAAACATCTACGGGGTGGCTTCCCACAGAATCTTCGTGGGGTTGGGTCCGCAATACCTGAGCCTGGAAAACTTGTTGAAGAGAGGGGGAAACAGAGCTCAGTGGGAGAGTGACCATTGCTCTCTGGGCTCAGTGGTTCACAGACCCTCTCCTCAGACAGGGAAATGGGAAGAAGCGAGTCTCTGATGGCTTCTTTCTTTCGCGTTCGTAGCAGTGAACAGTCAGCCAAAGCCAAGACTCAAAAGGAATTGATCAAAACGTTGAAGGAACTGAAAGGCCACCTGCCTCCCGACAGGAGAAGCAAAGGCAAGCCCAGCATGCTGGCGACCTTGAAGTACGCCCTTCGCAGCATCAAGCAGATCAAAGGTATTGACATTCTTGGGGGGGGAGTGTGCGTGCGTGTGCGTGTGCGTGTGCGTGCGTGTGTGCACATGTGTGTGGGGGGCATATCTCCAGAATGAGAGTTTGGATCTCTTTCTAAAACAAAAATGAAGGGATCTGAAGGGTGAGGCGATCTCAGATTGTTGACTTTTAGGTCAGTGGTAAGAAAACAATCAGACAGTAAGATTTCTTTTAGAAAGAAAGAGCGCAGCCTCGTCCCCTGCCCTGAGCCTTCAGGAGCAGTCTGTAGTGCTGAGGAGGGGAGTTGGTGCCCAGAATGATGCCCCCGAGGAGGCGTAAGACCCGCAGCGACTGAAGAAAGGTCCATCTGCCTTCAGCGTCTCACACTCATCTCATTAGCGTGCTGGCGTGTTCTCGGGTCAGACGTTTCCTTGCCGCCCACCCCAGGGCTGCGTGGGGGTGAGTGCACAGTGGTTTGTGAGCTTTCCGGTACCGAAGAAGCGTGCTGGCGGCGGGCGTCTGTCTACTCAGCGTTGGTTTTCTGCGTAGACGTTGTAGATTTTCAGCAGCAAGGCTTCAAACCGAGTTTCAGAATAACGGCTTCGTCACACGATATAGTTCAGCAGCCCGCTCCGTCCCCGTTAGTGAAGGAGGCCACGCTGGGGCCCAGGTGGCTCCTGGGAGACCGAAAAGTGGCTGAGTTCTTAAGGCAAAGATTTCGACCATAAAAGACCCAAGTTTTGAACGGAGACTTTAGAATTGGGGGCGTTCGGGTACGTTACGATTTAGTCAGAGGCTCCGGACGGCTGTAGGAGCTGCGTCAGAGCAGAAGAAATCCCCCCTCCCCAGCAGGGTTCTTGCCTGTTCGAGCTGTGTTTGGTGCTGTGGGGACGTTGTTGTCGTTGGGGTGGTGGTGGTGGTTGCTGTTGTTGGGACGTTACTGTCGCTGCCTGGCTCCCGAGCCCCAGGCGTTGTCTCAGCAGACTTCCCTGGCGGTCATTTGTGGTGTTCCTCGCGGGCAGTTTGTAGCCGGTCACCCAGGGCAGCGGGTCCATACCGATGTCCTCCTCGCTGGCCGTGACTCTGCACCCCTGTGGTGTGAATCGACAGAGGTCCTGGCATCCTCTAGCCACATGCCATTAGGGAGAGGATTGGGGGAGGGACTGTGGGTCTGCTTTGGGCGGCTCTGCCATGTTCTGAGGCTGGATGCAGTTAGGACAAGGTCGTCTGCTGACCAGAGCATCCAGAGGGTCTGCTCGGCCAGTGGGGAGCTTCCTTCCGATTTGGACTCTGCCTCTCCGAGGACGGAGGACTGTGCCTCTGTGGATATTAATATTCTGTGGGTCTCCTGGCCTCCAGGCCCAGCCCCCTGAAACACGCACATTCTACTTGCGCTGCTGCCTCGTTCACTGTCCCAGGTCCCAGCTTCCAGGTCTCCCCCTCCCCAGCATCCTTCAGGTCCTTCCCCCTTCCCCCATTCACATAATTGTCACCCCCTCCCAGGACTGCTGGGAGCCCCTTTGGCTTGGAATCTATGATGGCCTGACTCCATCATTTCCCTTTCCAGTTCACCTTTCGTGGTCTGCTGAGGCTCAGACCTGGCCACGTCACTCCCCTGCTTAGGACCCTTCGGGGGCTCCCTGGTGCCTCTGGATCAGATGCCATCTGCCCTGGCAGCATTTCAGGCTCTCCCCAGCCGGGTTTCCATCGATCTTTCCAGCCTCATTGTTTATATACTGCTCCCCTTCTCCACCTCGCCAGGGCATCCAGCCAAAGCCAGCTGCCAGCTCCTCTCCCCCCTGGACCCAGGATTCCTTCCCTTGCCTTCTCTGGGCTGGGCATTCCCTCCCTCAGATTCCGTCTCCATCTGCCACAAGCCTTGTCTTCCTTCTGGATGGCCCTGGGGCCACCCCGGCCTTGCCGTCTTCCCTTGTCCTGCCCCCTCTCCCCCTGTGTCCGAGCTCTCCCTCCTCAGTCTCCTTGCCCCTCCAGACCCACTTCTGAGTGTGTGGTTCCACCCCTGAGGGCAGGGATCATTTTGGTTTTGTCTTGATCTGCAGCAGTGAGCACAGGTCTTGGCATCCAGGAGGGTCAAGCAGTGGCCTATCCAAGACCACGTGACTGCTGATCGAGGAATCTTCTCTCCTGGCCTCGAATCTCCAATAGGATCATAGTATTCTAGAACTGGAAAGGACCTTGAATCTGGACCACACCCTTCATCTTGCATATGAGGAAACTGAGGCTGCAGGGGTGGGGGGGATGTGGTTATGACCTGGCCAAGGTCCCCCAGCCTTGATTTCCCAGCTCCCAAACCAGGACTCTTGGGAGCATTGAGCCTCGGGTGGTCCCCAAACCCCTGTCGTCTCCCTCAGCAGCTGCATGACCTGAAATAGCCTTTCCAGCTGCTGGGGTCTTTGACGGGGTCATAGGTGATCGCCTGCCTGCCAAATGAGATGGGTTGGGAGCTTGTCAGCCGATACCTGTGGACTCACCTCCTCAGTGTCCCCACTACTCTTTGGCCCAGTTTCCAGGTGGTGTTTTCATTTTTCATTTTTTGACTTGGAACATGAGGGTTTTTTTTTGTTTTGTTTTGTTTTTGCTTTTTGTGAGGCAGTTGGGGTTAAGTGACTTGCCCAGGGTCCCACAGCTAGTAAGTGTCAAGTGTCTGAGGCCACATTCGAACTCAGGTCCTCCTGACTCCAAGGCCAGAGCTCTATCCACTGCACCACCTAGCTGCCCCGACATTGGCTTTTGACAATAAAAACTGGTCGGCCCCCTTAGCTCTTTCTTAAGTCTCTGACTGAAGCTCCAATGTTTTAACATTCCCCCAAAATTTGGGGAAAAAAAAGAATCAAAAAGTAGAAATAAGCAATAGTCATTCATTTGAAGCTTAAAAAGCACAAGAAATGTGTTGTCAGAACTGATTTTACTCATGTAGTTAGCAGGTTTGCTATATAAGATTTAAAAGTTTATCAGATGGTAATTGTGATTTTCTGATTAAATTAGTTTTTTTTTTCATTTTTGTTACATACTGAACTAAATGTTCTTGAATTTGAAGTAGTCTAACATCTCTCTGCTTTTGCCAATTTATGAAAAGAAAGAAGTCCTGAAAACAGAAGTAGCCCTATTACTGATAGGTGACATTTGTATTGTTCGTGAAGCAGTTTACTTACGTCATCTCTTTTATCCTAACAGCCACCCTTCAAAGTCAATGCTTCCAATATCATTATCCTCATTTAACAGATGAGAAAACTTGAGGCTTAGGGAGTCAAAGCTAGTTGTCATGATCACACGGCCCATATGAGCTGCAGGTGGTGGGCGACTTAGAAGACGGCAGGGCCCATGACAGTAACAGGCCAGTGTGGAGGCGGAATGTGTCCAGAGGAGATGCGCCGACGTGATCGCTAGTGAGCAAGGAGGGCTAGGCCCGCGGGAGCAGAGTCGCTCCATGTTGTAGGAAGGGCCCCTGGCCACCGTCACCCCACCATCCAAGCTCCTTCTGGTCTGTGGTCGTTGGAAACACTTCTCTGAAACCAGCTCCAAGTGGATTGACCGCTGTGTGATCCCGTCTCACACAGCTGCATTTTGAGTCTGGGGTCCGGGAATTCTGTAACCATGGGAAGTAATGAAATTCTTCCCATTTCTCAGTAAAGCTTTGCTTTCCTCTGTGCTTGGAAGTATACATTTAGCCTGAGAAGTGGCCGATCCAGGTCCCTTAGGAAGGAAGGTCTTCCTGCGTGCCCTGTGGAGAGGGAAGGCAATGCTGGCTTTGCACGGCCATCCGTGGGCTGCCCGCCCGGTTTTGCACCGCCCGCCTGGCCGACCAGCAGGCGTCAGAACCGGGACCAGCTCCGGACAGCACAGCAGGGGCCTGGCATTTGGGCCATTCAAAAACGTTCTGCTTTACTACTTTTTTGAAGGAGAAAAAGCATTTTAGAAAAACAGCAAAATAGAAAACGTTGCCTACAGAACTCTTCTGTTGGCTTCTCTGCCTCCAGGGTCGTTCTTGATCTGCCCTTGGCCAGGATGGTGCGGATCCCCGGGGGCTCTCTCTCTCTGTGTCTCTCCTCTTCTTTTCAGAATGTTGTGCTCCCCCGACACGTAGTGTCTCGTGACATTTTCCAGTGAGGGTCTTGTTATGTTTTGGAAAACAATAAACCTTTTCCTTTCAGCTAATGAAGAGTATTATCAGCTCTTAATGACCCGTGAAAACCACTCAGCCACTCTGGATGTGCCTTCTTACACGGTCAAGGAAATGGAGACTCTGACGTCAGAATACATCATGAAGAACGTGGTGAGTGTCACCCAATGATGGGATCTCGTTTTATGGCCGCCGCATTGGGAGTTTGGACGCCTTATTTGATTTGGCGGTCCCCCGAGCCCAGTCTACTTTACGATAGGACGGTGATAAATTTGGGGAAGTTAAGACTGTGTCCAGTTTGACTTCAAGATTTCACCCAAATGAAAAGGAAAGAATAAGGCATGTGCCAGAGCCCCTCAGTGCCTCATTGTGGTGGGGAGGTACTCATGGATGCCAGCTCTGTCAGGCCCCGGCGCGCTGGAAAGCCTCTGAGTGAGAAAGTCTGTCCCCAGAGGACCAGAGGAGCTCCTCCCTGGGGGGGCAGGGGGGGCGGTGCCAATCACGGCATCTCATGAGGAGGGAAAGAGGGCGCGCTCTCATTCTCAGGGGAGTGCCACTGAGTAAATGACAGACCCTGGAAGCATCACGTGCACAAGATGTCCCTGAGGGAGCCGTCAGCACAGAGTGAGCCGGCTCCCGCCAGAGGAAGGGAGGGGACTTACCCAGGGTCATCGAGCAGCTCAGGGTAGAGCCAGTTGCCGGGGTCCTCTTGGGGCGTGTCTGCTCCTTCGCCGGTACTAACCGTGGCCCTAACAGCTGGAATATCGGTTGATGCAGCGGCACTTTTTGGGCATTGTCGCTAATTTTTAGTGTGATGTCACAGGAACTAGAGCAGAGAGGGGCCTTAGAAGCCGTCTGGTCCGGCTGAGGCCCAGGGAGCTCCACTCGTGTAGAGCGGAGCTGGGCTTTGCATCTGTGTTCTCTGGCCTGAGACCCCGTGTCCTCCCAAACCCCACGTTTGTTTTAACACGACATTACTTCATCGCTGCTGTATGAAACGTTCCCGATGATGCTTTAAAAGGCTGCCGGAGGTGAGACCTCTGAACGCCCTCACAGGGGCTGGTGCGAGGGCAAGGCTGCTGTCCTGCCTGACCGCCACATGCGGGGGACCTGCGGCTCCCACTGCTCCAGACCACGGTTCTGAGACGCGATTGGTCAGCTCCTTGCTCTTCTAAATGTAGTGTTGTTCACGTGTCCTTTCTTTCTAGGATATGTTTGCTATGGCTGTTTCCTTGGTTACTGGAAAGATTGTGTACGTCTCTGACCAGGCCGCATCCATTCTTCCCTGTAAGAAAGACACGTTTCACGACGCCAAGTTCGTGGAGTTCCTGGCGCCCCGTGACGTGAGCGTGTTCCACAGCTCCACAGCCCCGTCCCGGCTCCCGGCCTGGCGCGTTTGCCGCAGAGCCGGTAAGTCTGGGGTCTCGTCACGGTCGTAGCCCATCACCGGGGAGCTGGCCTCAGTTGCTCCTGCAGACCTTCTGCTGTGCCTGCCTTGAGCAGGAGGCCGGTAGTCCAGTGACCCCGTAGACAGCCTGGGTCAGGGGTCAGAGGGGAGCTGGACTTCCAGCACAGGTCACTCCTCTAACAGAAATGATGTGGGAAGATTGGTGCCGTAGGGAGGAAAAAGCCGAGATCCTGCCTTAGACAGCGAGTGTTACAGCCCAGGGGTGCTGGGGGAGGGGGCAGGCAGGCAGCGGGACGGCCTGTACCCTAGTACAGATGACCCGGGGTAGAGTGGGATGAAAGCCAGGAGCTCCCCAAAAATGTGGGCAGGGAGAGGCATGGAAGCACGAGGCGGGGTGGGAATTGGGGAACACTTCCTGGAGGACACCGCGGGGGAGCGAGGCCTGAAGGTTCATTGATGGGGGTCTGGGCCGCAGATGTAGGGGAGGACAGAGCGGGAGACCGGAAGGGAGAATGGCTCTCGGCCCTGGCCCCACGGACTTGGCTGTGGAGGGGAAGGATGAATGAATAGCATTTATGAATCACTCACTATGTGCTGAGCTTGGTGCTCACATGCTGGGGACACAGAGCAAAGCAAGACGGGCTCTGCCCGCGGGGAGCTCACAGTCTGATGAGGGAGGACCCCAAAGCGGGGAGGGGTCGGACACGGAATCTTGGGGGATTCTGAGTTCCCTTTGCTCGTCAGTGTCTGGCCAGGAGGAGAAAGAGCAGGAGGCTTCAGCAGAAAGGTTGGGGGTGGGGGAGAGGGAGGGGAAGAGGAGCTCCAGAAAGCCCGACTGGTGGAGATCGGGACAGACTGTGGAGGGCCTCAAATGCCACACTGAGGAGTCGGACGTCACGGAGGGCTTCACTCACCAACTCTCCCCATGAATGAGCATGGTTTTAGAAATCCTTGACTTTGCCTTGGACCGCCAGCTGGCAGATTAGAGCTCCCTTTGACAGAAGGGGACCAGAGAGAAGTTAAGGTTGTCTTGGGTGACTTTAGCTGAGAAAAGTAAATTAGGGGTGGGGAGAGGGAAGAGATGGACGGACAGAGTCTTTCCACCAGGTTTCATTCTAGGAGAAAACAAGCCACACAAGGCCACGAGAACAGGGTTCGAGGGCGTCAGGAATAAGTCCATTTAGACTCGTAGCCAGGGCCCTGAGAAGTCAGCAGGGACGGAGTTCAGGTAAAGGGTGGTGGTAGCGCGGCAGATGTGGGCTGCCTCCCAGGCTCTTGGGAGGCCTGGCTCTGGCCATGCAGCGTGGGATTCGAATTTCAGAATGTGGCTTATCTCCTTCACTGGCTCCTCATTTCCCAAGGGAAAATATCCAAATCCCTTTAGCGTTCAAGGCCCCCTGCTCCCCAGCACACAAACTTTCTGAGGCTACGTGACTATTTTATAAATGTGTTTATTTACTCCTCGGAGATGGAGGCAGGAGCTCTACGGCCCTATCGCTATTGCCTCCAGGATGAAACGCACACTTCTTAGCCTGGCATTCAAAGCCTTCTGCCATCTGGAGCCAGCCTAGCTTTGCCAGCTTGTTTCCTGATCCTCCCTTTTATGTACTTGATCCAGGCTGGGCAGCTGGCCTCCTAGCATTCTGCTGAATTGGACCTGCCGTCTCCCACCCCATGTAAGCCCCCTCCTCAGACTCCTTGTTTTCAGGTCCCTAGTTTGGGCATTCCCTTCTCTGGGAATCCTTCCTGGGTGCCCCGGCTCTCAGGGCTTCCTCCTTCCCAGATTGTCTTGTACTGAATTATCTGTATACGGGACGCGTCCCCAGGAGAACCTAAGCGTTGGCACCCCTAGGGCCTCACTCAGCACATGTGGAGAGTGGCACCATCTGCAGGCCACAGTCACTCTGGTGCCGGCATGGTAGATGGCCCAACCCAGCTGGCAGCCAGTCCATCAAAAGGGAGAGCCCAGAGCAAGGTGTCCCTGAGCCCCCTGAGTCAAATTGGGGCCCGATGGGCAGAGGGCCCAGGGTGGCAGGGCTTCCTGAGGCGGTATCTCCTTATCCCCACTGAAAAGTGCCCTTTTTATTGCCAGCCAAGACTATGTTGTTCTCTAACTCTCTAACTGGGTATGAGCTGACAGGAGCCTGGGGCCTCGGCCTGTCACTGAGGAGTGGAGGCAAGCCCTGGGAGAGAGGCAGCACCCTCCCATCTTGGCTCCTGGACCACCCCTTAGGACGGACTGAAGGCTTTGGGGCAGAGGGATGCATGAGAAGCTCCTTCCCTTGCTGCCAGCACAGGCTTAGAACCCAGGAGCTGGAAAGCATCCAGTTCCCTCATGTAACAGTGGAGGAAACTGAGACCCAGAGGGAAGCAGTTGGAGTTTAGGCCCCCAGGGAGTTGGAGGGTAGGCCTGAATTCCAGCTGGTGGCTTCGTGGTGCCTCCTGCAGGGCTCTGTTGTGGGCGGCTGGCTCGCTGCCTCTCGCCTCTGTCCTCTGTATATTCCACGTTATTGGACAGTGGTCATTGTCTAAAGGAAAACACCAGGGCTGTGATGGAAGCTCTGTGAGCACGATGAGGACAGCAGCAGCTCCGGCATCCGGGTGCTGTCCTCCAGGCAGGCCTGTATTCTAGGCATTATTACCCCACGTTATGGGGGGTACGGGCAGCACACACAAGCCAGTGTTAGGCCTGAGCCGCTGAGAGACAGGACTGAGGCTGGGAGAGAATGTAAGAGGTAACTTGCATTTGTGGGAAAACCCGGGAGCGTCAGTCTGCACGTCTGCCACAACTGTCTGCCCTTCCCAGGAGACGACGTGAGGCCAAGAAGCACCTTTTCCAGACATGTTGGTCAGACAGAAGGCCTCAGTGGGACACATGGCCAGTGGACACTTTGTGAGGCCACATTTAGGGAATCTTTTAATTTTTAGACACACCCGGGAGAAGAGTGTAAACCTAACCTTTCTGTTTTATGCGTCAGCAAAATCTGCTTTTCAAACCCAGATTCTTCATTTGTTTTTAACTAAGTGTGTGACTTAAGAAAATTGTTTTTAATATTTATAGATTCTTGCACCCAGGATTACATGGAAGAGAAATCTTTCTTCTGTCGCATCAGGTAAGCCTCAATGTAGTTTCCTAGACCAAAAAAGATGAAAACAAAAGGGCAGGTATTTGTTTTACAAAAGCAATGTTATATAGACTTAATAGAGAATATTTCACAATCAAGGGTTAGAACAAGGGTGGGGAACCATGGGCACATGTGGCCTTCTAGATCCTGTCCAAGAGGTGGTCGGATGCCTCAGCAGAGGGTGCCTTCTTCCTCTCCACTCCCTGAACTGGAGAAGTCACAAATCCTGCCTCAGTTCACATTTTTGTACCCCAATAAGCACATGTAAAAAGGGTTTGGGGTACATAGGTTTCTTATTAACTGTTTTAGACAGTAAGAGAGTGTTGTCACTGAACTTTTTTCTCACAGAGCCCCTCTTTGTATTATGTACCACCTGGTGTGGGAAATGCTAATAATTTGTACTGGGAAAAAGGGCATCATTTGTAAAAAAGTGTTGGCCTTTTAAGCACAGGAAATTGCCTGTCAGGTAGCTGTAGACTTGAAGATTTGCTTTATGGAGATATGCTCTTCTGTAAAGTTAGTGACATTTTTACAAATCAGATCATCATTTAAATGCTTAAGATGAGTGCATTTCAAGTTCTATGTAAAGAAAGACCGTGATGCATCTTCCTGCATGGCAATGATTTGCTCCGGATTTGATCTTTTATCAGTCTGAATTTGGATAGAATGTGAGTTGCTTGAAAGGGGGATTGTTGGGTTTTTGTCTCGGCTCCCCAGCACTGACCCAGGGCCTGGCTCACAGTCAGGTGCATTTGCTTGGGTCTTAGCAGGGCTTGCGTCACTGTGGCGTCAAGTCTACTACTTGTCTTTGAGGTTTCTGGAGTCAGTCCTGGGTCAGGGCTGGGGGAGGCAGGAGGGCATGAGTTGGCCAGTCAACGTCTCTGACGGCTCTGGGTGCTGGACCGTTGTCATGTTCATGGGCTTTCTTTGTGCTTTGCCTTCTCCAAGTCAGAGCAGACTGAGTATGACTTAGGACCAGGCTGTCCTTACGAGCATCATTGGCTGCCTTCTTGGAGGCAGCGTGTGCCAGAGCCGGGGAGCACCCTCTCTGCGGCTCTGGGCTTTACCTTCTTATAAACCTGCTTGGCGGCCTGATGCGGACCTGTGTGCCAATGGAGGTCCTGGCGGGGCAGTCTGTGTGAGCATCTCTGCTGTGCACCTGGCTGCTTATCTGTGTAATGACATTGAGCAGAGAGGGCCGTGGCTGGGGGCTTCTCCCCCAGAAATAACAGCCATCTTCCTTCCCTTGGTTCTCTGTGCCCTTTCTGCATCATCACAAGATGGCGTCCTGAGAAGCTTTGGGCCATACCCACCTCCGGCTTTCACTCCCAGGAGGGCTGTCCATAAAGCATTCTGAGACTTAGTCCTAAGACGTTTTGGCATAAGCTTGCTTCCCTCTTCATCCCCCAGAGCTCACAGCTGCCAGTGTGCCGGCCCATTCTCCTATACCATACTTGGCTCACAGACCCCGAGGGGTGGAGAGGGGTTACAAGGAGGGAGCTGGGTTGGTATTTTCCCCATTTCACTGAAATGCAGTCGTCCTGTCACACCAGTTCTAAGAATGAGCAGCATCCAGATGTTAGTGTTATAACCAGGTTGGGGGTTCTGCACATGCTTGCTTCACAAATTGACTCGCATGAAATCTATTCCATAGGAACTGTGCAACCACATCCAGAGGTTGGATCAGTGGAGGTGGACTGGGCCAGTGGAAGAGCCCTGGAGTCCCTCTGACCTTTGCTACCTCTGTGACCTTGGGCATCTCCCTGAGGCCCTTCCTGGGTCCTCAGTTACCCTCTCTGTAAAATGAGAGGATTGGATTCAGTGACTCCTGAGATTCCTTCCAGCTCTGAACCAGTGTTCACACAAGCCCATAATCCTCTCCTCTTAGCCCCCTTCCCCTTTTACCTTCTCTCCTCTAGAGCTCTCCCCCTCCCCTCTCCCCCGTGGTTAGCATTATCACCTCTGTGGTCCATCTCAATCCCTGCCTCTCCCTTGAGCTCCAGATCAACACTGAAAGCCGCCTCTTGGACCTCGATCACAGATATCCACAGCAGGCCCAAGCCTGCCTTCCCTCCTGCCTCGTTGGTGGCGTTACCATTCTGCCCATTGCCCACCTCTGTAACCCACGTCCTCTTTCCCTCCTCTCTCTCTCCTCTGTGGCAAAGGGCCATCGTGCTGCCCTGTCTCTTGTTTCCACCACTGTGTCCACTCTGACTGACTCCTCCTGCCTCCCCTTAGACCAACTTGCCTTGTAACTGGGCTCCCTGCCTGCAGCCTCTCTCCAAACTCAGTACATCGTCAAAGTCATCTTTCTAATGGAATGTCCCCCTGCTTGTAGACCAGCAGTGGCTCCCCACTGCTGCCCATCAGATAAAGTAGAACCTCTTTATTCTGGCATTCAAGGCCCCTCTTTACCATCTGGCTTCAGACCTCCTCCCCTGCTGTATTTCATGCTTCTCCCCATTAGGCTGAATTGGACCACCCTTGGCCACCTCAGGGTATTAGCTTTATGTGAAATGGATTCTCTCCACATCTCTAGTGGCCCATCACAGTTCTTTCCCTCAGGAGCCTGCCCAGGGCCCACCTTTTACATAGCAGATACTGGACAAATGTGGCTGAAACAGCATCTTTAATAGCAGGTGAAGGGATGCCTTTAGACAGCTTCTCGACCTGTATCAAGAGGAGATTTTTTAATTGTCAGAAGTTGTGTGGCTGGACATGTGTGCGTGTGTGTACGTGTATGTGTGTGTACATGTATGTGTACATGTGTGTGCGCGTGTGTGCGCGCGTGTGTTTAGCGATTCAGGGAAGACTGTGACATTAGCACAGGCCATACCAGGCAGTTAGCCTTGGCTTCCAGCGTGGGGTGGCGTGGTTTGATTCATACACTGACAGGGAGCCCCAAATCGAGCCATTTCTTAGCACTGGAAACTGTTGGGAAAAATGTTGAAAACCCACAAAATTCTTGTAGCATCATGATTAGTGAATGGTTCTCATCAGCCACGTGGAGCTTTCTGATCTCGTGTCATTTTGAAATTCTAAAGCTGTCCTTTTGAAAATAGACACGACTCAGTCGATTGAGGGTTTGGGTTTTTTTTTTTTTTCATAAGAAATATTTTGCCTTTTCACTGAGTATTGAGCCAGAGATTGGCATTGTTTTAGGCCCCCAGTCTCTGGCCTGAATGCCCAATTAAAATGCAAACTTGATTGGCTGAGCCAGACCTGCTTTCGGGAGGGTGGCTTTAGAATTCTAAATTAATGTGACATATGGCTGGTGAAAAGCATGAGGACATCATTCTGCTAGAAGAATTTTTGTCTTTTTAGCAGTTTCTGAGCCTAAGAAAGTTGCTCTGTTTTTGCAATCCTTGTCAATCCTGGTCCTGATGCCCCAGCAGGTTCCGTCACATTAAGTTCTCTGGGCCTGAGGGATTGAAGTTGTCTCACGGGCTGATGCTGCAGACTTGCTTTCATTAAAGCCCCCAGTACAACCATCCCCCCTTCAGGGCTGGGGAACTTGCAGCATCCAAAGTTTTCCATGGCTTCCCATGTTGCCCTTTACAGAAGGAAAGCTGATGAGTGGGGATGTGGGGCAGGGGCTTCTGGCTTCACTTCAGTCCCTGTTTAGGGGTTTCTAATGGCCAAGGCCTCCTGAGCAGGGTCTTGAGGGATTAAGGGGCAGCCACAAAGAGACAGAAGAAGGAGCGGCACTGTTGGTCCTCCTGTCTCTTTCCCGTGGGAGCCTGAGCTCCCTGGGGCTGTGCTCGGGGTGAGATGACCCACAGATGCTTTCTTGCCACGTCTCAACCATAGGAGGTCTGGAGCCCCTGGTGTGAGGACTCTGGCAGGCTGCAGGATGGAGAGGCATGGTCTGGCTTCTTCAGAATCCCTTGGATAGTTGAAGGCATTGAATGATCGCATCATCAGTATTGAGGCCCTCTGGGGTGCTCAGTAGCTAAGTGAGCAGAGAATCATTTCAGTGGAGCTGGGAGGAGCCAGCATCACCTCGCCCACATTCTCCCTTCGAATTCCTGTTTAAGTACAAATGTTTTCAGGAGGGATAATGCTCTAAGCTCCCCCCGCCCACAAAATATTGAGATTCTGTAATTGATGCCTTCACTAAAACCCACCTGTGATTTTTCAGGATGGCATGGAGATGTCCCTGAGTTCTCCAAAGCCTAATCTCTGGTAGAGTCTTCCAAGCCAAGGAGGCTTTGGGTTGGGCCCAGTGCTGGGCCGAGGCTTCTCTCAGGACCAGCCTCACTGAGGTGGGTGGGATGTGATGGGTTTAAGACCACAGAAACTCTCCAGGCTGTCACCTTGTTGCTGGCCCAGTTGCTTGTCATTTGCGTCAGTGGAGATTTCATGGTACTGTTGAAATCCCTGAGCTTTGAAGTGTCAGAAAAGATGTAGACCTTGATGGAAGAGAAGGGCTTGAGAACAAGAGAGTGACAAGATGGAGTGACACAGGGCCTGGTGCCGGCCGGAGAATCCACCATCTGAAGTTGGGACACTTCCCTGCATGGTGCTCAGGGGCAGAAGTGATCAACTCTTCAGGAGAGGGGCAACGTCTTTTCTTTCCTCCAGAGAGGGCTGCCATTTAAAAATGTCATTGTTATTATTTATTCCAGACCTATGAAGTCTCTTATTTCACAATCCTTTTGTTATTTTGCATTTATAGTGGTGGCAAAGATCACGAAAATGTAATCCGCTATCATCCATTCCGAATGACTCCCTACCTTATCAGAATACAAGACAAGCAGAGTGCAGACGGTCAGCTGTGCTGTGTTTTGCTCGCAGAGAAGGTGCACTCTGGTTATGAAGGTAATTGACCTGACAATACCAGGTATTTGTCTTGTATGACTCCAGGTCAGTGCAAACACTGCTCGTCACCAGTTTGCCGTTGGGTTTCTAGCTTAAACTACATTTGTTCGTTTTGGTTTCTTTCCTTTGAGGGTAGCTGTACCCTGAAGTGACAAAGCAAGTGTTTTACGTTGCTCCAGCTCACGGTCTTTAGGGCCTCTTGTCTTTGGGGTGTACCAGTGTGTAAAAATGTCACGCGTTCCTGCCAGCAAAAGGCGTGGTCTTCTAGTCAGTAAAGAGTAGAGTTTTGCTTTCCCCACTGTCTCCCAACTCCGCAGATCATCAGTTGGCCTTTTTTGTAGAGACAGGCCCTCTCAGCATCTTTGAATATCCTTTTTGGTTATTTGGGGGGGCCTTGGGGACCTTCCTTGGCAACGGGAATCCTGGTTTACGGTCTGATTTCTCATTAACAGCTTTCCCCGCTGTAGCAGCCGTGAGGTTAACCAGCCTCCCAAGACTGCCGAGGTTTCAGGCCTCTGCCAGAGCTGCAGCTCCCTAAGTTTCCCAAGTAATTTGCTGAAAGCAGTATTAGTCTGACCTTCAGATCGCTAAGCTTCAGGAATAGTTCTATTGAGCAATGTTTGACTATTGTTGGAGCATTTTTTTTAATGCTGCAGTTTTAGGATTATTGAAGTTGGGCACAGCTTATTGACAAATTTATGAAAACAGCTGGAGAGAAATTTACCAGACACGTCCGTGCTGGCTTCCCTTATTCTTTGTTAGGGAGGAAGTGTGGTGTACTGTGGTTCAGGTCCCATCCCTGCTACCACTGACTGTGTGGGCCTGGGCAGGTCACTTACCCAGCCTCCCCCGGGCATCTCCCGAAGACTGGAAGTTGCCAAGAAAGGGCCTGTTGGGTTGGTTGGGCAGAGGGAGCTCTGTGCTGCCAGTTCTCCAGGGAAGTTAGAGGGCCAGTCCAGAAACACAGCTGTTGCATAAAACATCTACCACTAGTTTTCTTTTTTCTTTCTTTCTTTCTTTTTTTTTCTTTAGCTACTTATTCATCCCATTAAACTTAAATGAGATTTTACAGTAGTTGTAATTTGTCTGTACTTAAATTCATGTGTCACTCACAAAGCTTTCATATAAACTGTTCTTTCAGCGCCCAGGATTCCGCCAGATAAGAGGATATTTACAACGACACATACCCCAAATTGTCTGTTTCAAGATGTAGATGAAAGGTGAGCTTTTTTTTCCTTTTTTCTTTTCTTTTTTTTTTTTTTTTGGTGAGGCAATTGGCATTAAGTGACTTGCCCAGAGTTACACAGCTAGTGAGTGTTATGTGTCTGAGGCCGAATTTGAACTCAGGTCCTCCTGACTCCAGGGCCAGTGCTCTATCCACTGCGCCACCTAGCTGCCCCCTAGGTGAGCTTTTAGAATCCTTTCCATCTTGCCTTTCCTCACTGCTCATGCCCATCTCAGCAAAAATCTGATAGTCTTCATCTTCTTAATAAAAGTGAAGCTGGGCCAGAGCAGCCTTAGGCTAAAGACTGCCTGAGGATGTATGTCACAGGCTCAGATGGAGCACCTTCATCATAGAATTGGAGCCTTGTGAAAGGTGAGATCATTAAACCTAAGCCTTTCCTCTGACAGATAAAGAAACTGAAACCCAAGGAATGTCACGTCTCTGGGTGAAGAGAGATTTTGTACACAAACACACTTACACACACATACATATAAAATCTCCCTTCATCCATATATACATATAATCTATGTACATGTATATGTCTGTGTACACATATACGTGTTCATATGTAGGCAGCTAGGTGGCACAGTGGATAGAGCAACAGTCCTAAAGTCAGAAAGACCTGAGTTCAGATCTGATCTCAGACATTTAATAGTTGTGTGACCCTGAGCACGTCACTTAACCTCCATTTGCCTGTTTCCTCATCTGTAAAATAGGGATAACAGCCACACCTAGGGCAGCTAGGTGGTGCAGTGGATAGAGTGCTGGACCTAGAGTCAGAAAGACTTCTCTTCATGAGTTCAAATCTGGCCTTAGATACTCATTAACTAGAACCTGTGCAAGTTTCACTTAACCCTGTTTGCCTCAGTTTCCTCGCCTGTAAAATGAGCTGGAGAAGAAAATGGCAAACCGCTCCAGCATCTTTGCCAAGAGAACCCCAAATGGGGTCACAAGGAGTTGAACACGACTGAAAAGACTTAATGGCGCCTATCTTCCAGCGTCTGTGAGGATCAAATGAAATAACATTTTTGTATGGTCCTTAGCACAGTGCCTGGCACATAGTAAGCATTATATAAATATTAGCTATTATTATTGTTACATATATACATACCTACATACATAGATAAATATATGAATTTATAATTTAACTTAATTCCTGTAGAACTACTTTAGGAAACGTTGTGTTTGCATTAAATGAAATGGCTCTCCTGCCATTCTTGTTTTAAAATTGTGTTATATAGCATGTGTTGATTTGGCCAAGATGAGTGCAGCCTAAAGTGGAATTAGTTAAACGAGACTTTGGAGCGTACGTGCCCACTAGCTGTTGTCAACAGAAGGACTTGTTCATTCTTCCCAATCTCCTTCATTTGACTTTCAGAGCGGTTCCTCTCTTGGGCTATCTACCTCAGGACCTGATTGGCACCCCTGTTCTGCTGCATCTTCACCCACATGACAGACCTCTCATGCTGGCTATTCACAAAAAAAGCAAGTCATCTTTTTCAATGTAATGGAAGAGACTTTAAGGCAATGGGAGATTTGATGACTTACAAGTGCTCCTTTTGAGAAAACCAGCCTTGGGTAGAGTTCTTAAATGTAAATGAGACACATAAAAAGAATAGAAGAAAAGTGAACAGACTTGAATGTCTGGGAAGGATGAGCGCTCTGGGCTTAGGTCCTGTGAGGCAGAAAAAGGACTGTTCTTCTGGAGTCTCTCTTGACTTTAGGTAGACTTAGCTGGCGAGAAGAGAAACATCCCAAAGCAGAGGGAAGAGGCAAGAAGGAAGTTAGTGTTTCTTAGCAAAATCAGTGAGTTGTTTTAAAAGAAAGAAATTTTATAGCAGAATTTGACAGAGAAAGAAGCAAGTTTACCAATCAGAGTTGTGAAAATGTGCTATAGAGTGGCCAAGAAAGCAAAACCTACCAACTTGCTGTATACGAGAAACACACCTTGAACAGAAAGATCCGGTGTTAGAGGGAGGGACTGCCGGATAACTTATTCTGCTGTAACTGAATCCAGAAAGCCAGTTAGAGCCATCATATATCTTCTGACAAGGTAGCAAAAAGACGATAATCAGGAGACACAAGCAAAAAAAGGATAATATCATCCTGAAAGGGGCCAGACATAATGAAACCATCCAAATTAAGTGTGCCTGCACCAAATGGTAGAGCGCAGAAGTAATTAAAGGAAAAGTTAACGGAATGATAGGAGCGCCTGGAGAGCGAAACAGTCACTGTTGGTGACTTGAGATTTAGACACATCTGCCAGAAAAGCAAGATCGGAATCAAAGATATGGGTAGAATGTTATCTTTGGCTTTTATCCAGTGGGAATATTAAAGAATAAACCCATTTTTCCACATTGTGTAACACATTTATAAAATCGTGTGCACCTTTGTATTTATTCACGTATTAAGGTTGTTGAAAGCTTCATTAAAATTAGATTTTCAGATCAATTGCCTTTTTCCAAGCAAATGCCTTCATTCCTTACCACAGATAATCAGTCACTGATTATGTAACTGCTGACCTGTATCATGGAGTATGATTTCTACTCCTCAGGCACAGCAAAGTGAGGTCAGTGGAATATTGAGATAAACACACGACCATTCCGTGAAAGCAGTCCACAAAAATTCTTAGCTGCTTTGATCAGTACGGTGACCCACCACGGTTCCAAAGGACTCTTGATAAAAAATGCTGTCCACCTTCAGAAAAAGAAGTGATGGACTGTAAGGGTGGACTGAAGCAGATTTTTTCTCTTGTTTTATTAATATTTTGCAACATGGTTAATATAGAAATGTTCTACATGATCTCCTGTGTATAATGGGTATCATGTTGTTTGCCTTCTCAGTGGATCAGGGAGGGACTGGAGGGATGGGGGAATTTGGAACTCAAGATAAAAACATGAATGCTTAAAAAATAAATAATTTTTTAAAAAAAGAAAGTCTGTAAATCAAAATTTAAAGTAATAATTGGGGGATTTTAAAACAGGTTTTGAAAGTAGCATAAAAAAGTAGCTTTAAAGTTTTCTCAAGTCATTATTAAAATGCTAACATTTTTTTCTGTACATCTGAAATAATTAAGAATGAATCTTTAAATATACCTTGCAGGTTTGGTGGGGCTTTTTTGTTTTGTTTTGCTTTGTTGCTATTAGCATTGGTTAACCTTTATTCATATGTAGAATTAATAGATGTTTCTAAATCTTACAGTCCTGCAGTATGGTGGACAGCCTTTTGACTACTCTCCAATCAGATTCTGCACTCGAAATGGAGAGTACATAACAATGGACACCAGCTGGTCCAGTTTCATCAATCCTTGGAACAGAAAAGTTTCCTTTATAATTGGAAGGCATAAAGTGAGAACGTAAGTGAACCGTGGCCATATCTCTTCTATTATCCCCTGGCCTTGAACCCCCATTGTCCCCACACTCTGACTTAGCCACATGGCAGGAATAAGAGATGGGCACAGAGGACAGATGTCAGAGTAGCAGGCTCCCGCCCTGGTTGGGCTTGGGTCTTGGGGTGAGAGTACAAGACTTGTGAAGTGGTGAACACTCCAGAGGGAGGGAAGGAAGAGCAGGGATGACACAAAGACATGTATTTGGATGCTTGGGTTCTTTGACCTTATAGAATGAGAACTAGGTAATTTACTCCCTCATTTCCTAATCTTATTGTTTTCAAGGGCTCTTAGGAGATGGAGCCACATTTGGTTGTAGCCTGCTTTCAACTCAGTTGAACAGGCTTTTATTGTAGTGCACTTGCTGAACTGGGTACGTCTCGAGGTGCTAGAGTACTTGGGGTCAGTTCTTTGACTGGCTATGCCTTTTATGTTGGCGCTTCCAGGTATACCCCCACCCCCATTATGAGGAGCTGGGGCAGAGGCCAGCGAGTACCCCAAACCAGCCTTTCCTGAAGTAGTAGATGCCAGCAGAGTTGAAAGCGAGGCTTGTTTGAAAGAAGCCTGCTGAGATTAGATAAAGCCCCACTATCAGAGGGGTGGTGAGGAAGGTAGTGGGGATGGCACCTATTGGGAGTCACACTGGTTCATGTTCACACTTGGTATTTGGAATACATTTTGCCTAAAAACAATGGAATCTTTGCTAGGCCTCTGAACTAGCCCGCAAACGTTTTTTATTGATGATGTAGTCAAATATATAAAGTAAATCCCCCTAGTAGATTGTAGGCTTCTTAAAGAACAGAGTCTGTGTCGCCATATCTATCTTTGTATCTCCACTCCTGAGCACAGTGCTTTGTACACAATAGGCACTTAATGCCTGTTGCATTGAAAATACTCTTAATACCTGCCTTGAACTGCCCAAGTATAAGAAGCCAGAGATGGCTTTCCTTTGGCTGGGGTGGGGTGGGGTGGGGTGAAGGAATCGGGAGAAGGAGGGGAAGCTCCAGTGCTGACAAGCAGGCCAGACTTCTCCAGGGCTGGGCCTTGGGCAGCACCAGCCAACCGCTCATTCCTTTGCTCAGTCAATTTGTGAGCTGGTGTTTATGAACCAAGGGATGTTGGTCTTCTCACAGCTGATCTCAATGAATTTGTTCAGGGGGCCTTTGAATGAAGATGTCTTTGCTGCTCATTCCTGCACAGAAGAGAAAACCCCTCATCCCAGTATTCAGGAGATCACAGAGCAGATATACAGGTTGTTACTACAGGTAGGTTTCTTTGCTGTTAACTTTGTGCATTTGAGCAATGAGGTCTGCAGGTCACAAAACAGGAGCAGCAGAGTGTTCCTTTAGAATAAATTATCAATGGTTTAAGGTACGTTCATGAAAATTTCCTTCTGATAAACCAGGCGTTTTCAGATGACTGCAGACCAGGTTACTGGTTACAGTTACAGACTACAGGACAGATTGAGAGGTACCCTGCGTTAGCTCATCGGAACAGTGGGAGATACTGGGAAATTGTCCCCGACCTGGGCAGTGCAACCTTAAATCCTGGGGATCTTGAATGGGAAGTCCAAGCTCTTGAGGATGACCCAAAAGATCCACCCCGAGTCTCTGCTGTGGTGATTGTACCAACTGCAGATGGGCCGTCGTGCCATCTCTGTCCCTCCTCCAGTTTGTCAGCAAGTTTTCGTTAAGTGGATCCCATGGCCAGGAGCGGTGCCATGTGCCAGACTGGCAGTTGGGGGCTAGGCCCTTTTATCTCTTTCTATGGAATAAGTTTGTATCAGCAGCACGACATAAGTTTTTAAATTAAGCTTTCTGTCTATAAATCCAGAGTATAGTTTGTTGATGTGGTCTGACATCCTGCACTTAAGCAAAATGAGACTTTTCAAAATTGAATTTTATTTTTTATTAGTAAAAATCTATGTTCTTTCCCTTCCCCCTCCATCCATTGGGGAAAAAAAAGAGAAAAAGAAAACCCATGTAACAAATATGCATAATTAAGCAAAGCAAGTTTATATATTGGCCACATACAAAACGTACGTGCAACAACTTTTATGTTAGTCATTGTCTCTTTAGCTTATTCATCTCTCTAGCTTAGCTTCCTTTTATATTATCTGCATATCTTTTTTAAAAAAACTTTTTCTTTTGACTAGGCAGTGGGGTTAAGTGACTTGCCCAGGGTCACGCAGCTAGTAAGTGTTATATGTCTGAGGCTGGCTTTGAACTCAGGTCCTCCTGAATCCAGGGCCAGTGCTCTATCCACTGCACCACCTAACTGCCCCCCAAAAAACTTATTAAATTAAATTTTATGTTTTCAATCCACAAAAATCTTTGTCTCCCTCCCCCACCTCCCGCTACCCCCAATTGAAAAAGGAAAAAAAACCAAAACAAAACCCTTACTCCAAACCTTTACACTGAAGCAAAGCTAACTCCTGCATTGGCCACGTCCAAAAAAATGTCTCAGTCCCCACCAGCCCTCATCTCTGACAGGAGCTGGGCACCATGTGTGGTCATGGGTCCTGTGGAAATGGGTCGGCCATCGGGATGCTGAGGGCTCAGAAGGCTTTCTGAGCTGTTTGGTGTACCGTTTTATTGTTGTTGTATGAATTGTCTTCCTGGTTCTGCCCCCTTCACTCATCATCATGTGGGTCAAGTCTTGCCATGTTTCTCTCCCATTGTCCCTTCCTTGGCTATGGCATGGCTGTCATCCATTACATTGGTAGAACAGGATTGGTCCAATTGAGGAGTGCCTCCTCAGTTGCCACACCAAAGGGCTGCGCTGAGTGTTTTTGTACATATTGGTCCCTCTTACTCTTTGACCTTTGGGGGAACAGGCTTGGTGATTTAATCACTGGCCTTAAAGGTTTTGAGGACCATAGTTGTTTCAAAATGCTTCCCCAGAACGTCTGGGCCAATTCACAGCTCTACGAACCATGCATCAGTGGGGCCTTTTTCCTGCCGCCCTTCCAACATTCTCATTATCTTTTGTTATCAGCAATGCCAATCTGAGGGTATGAGATGGAACCTCAGAGTTGTTTTAATTAGCATCTCTCTGGCTATTAGTGATTTAGATCACAGCCTCTTATGTCTGTTGATAATTTGGATTCCTCCCTTAGAAAATTTGCCTGTTTATACTCTTGGACTATTTTCAATTGGGGAATGACTTTTACTCTTATAAATTTAAGTCATTTCTTGCTATCTTTTGGAAATGTGACCCTTATCAAAGAAACTTGCTGCAAAGATATTTCCCCCAGTTACCTGTTTCCCTTCTAATTCTAGCTGGAATTGATTTGTTTGTAGAAAACCTTTTTAGTTTTATGTAGCCAAAATCCTCTGTGTGATCTTAAGTGATCTCTCCCTGGATTGGTCATGAACTCTTTCCTAGCCATAGATCTGAAAGGTAATTTTTTTTGTTGTCCCTCTAATTTGTTCATGATGTCACCCTTTTTGTCTGCTAGGTCATATGTCCATTTGGGTTTGTTTTTTTGTGTTGTTTTGTTTTGTTTTGTTTTTTAGGTATAAGATGTGAAATGTTGTTCTATATCTAGTTTACAAAAGAAGTCTTAAGACACACTTTCCGGCGGCAGCTAGGTGGCACAGTGGATAGAGCTCTGGCCTTGGAGTCAGGAGGACCAGAGTTCAAATGCGACCTCAGACACTTGATACTTACTAGCTGTGTGACCCTAGGCAAGTCACTTAACCCCATTGCCTAGCAAAAAAGAGAAACAAACAAAAAAAAGACATACTTTCCAATGGCCATGCTCATTTTAGATATTATTTTGGTGACTCAGCAGCTTTTACCTTCTTGCTTCTTACGCTCTATCAAGCTTGTTAAACGATCAGTCTTTAAATGATCATTATTTTGTTTCCAAAACCAAGGCTCTGGTCTCAGTTTACAGGCTGTGTAAGTGACTGTTCTTTGGCCAGTGTGTTTTCACTTGTCTCAGGTCCCTTTTTTTGCTAAAACTGATACAATTGTTATGGAAAAACAGTCTGTTATTAGGCACAAAGGACCCAAAATTATTCGTGCCTGTAGACTCAGAGGCTGTGCTGCTGAGGCCCAGTGCCCCAGGAGGCTCTTGACAGCAAGGCAAAAAGAATCCCGGCAGAATTGGCCCAGCATGTGATTGGGGCATGGCTTGAGACGCTGAGTTCTGTGAATGTGATTGAGCAGTGCTGTGCTAAGTCATAACCGATGTGAAGTAAAGACTTGGTAGGAAGTGACTGAGTGAAGAAAGCAGAGCAAGAAGACCAGTGGGTGCGTTGACTACTGTCACGTAAAGAAAGTCAGCCTAGAGAGATGGCCAGCCTCTGCCCGGCTTCAGTGGTCCTGATGAATATACCCCACAGCTCTCTGTCTCTTCCCCAAGAGTCCCTGCAGACACAGGCACCAGAGGGCACCTCAGGGAGGTGTATTCCGAAATGGTAGAAGAGCTAACTCTACGAGGTAGTGGGTCCGCATCAGATTGATGCAACACAGTGCACTGGATTTGGAGTCAGAAGACCTACTTTGAGGCCTGTCCATGTCACTGCTTCACCTCCCTGGGCTAAGCTCAGTTCCTCGCCTGTAAAATCTGAGAACTGAACTCCATGAGCGCTGAGGTCCTTCCTGTCTCTCAATCGATGGTCCTGGGGTCAGTTCCCAGCGCTGATCGACCAGACAGCCCCTAAGGAGGGCAGCCAGCATGGGGAGGGTCCTGGAGCCTATGTCGTGTGAGGATCTGTTGGGAGGAGTGGGGAAGAGGACGGGAGAGCTGTGTTCAGGTATTCAAAGGGCCACCATGTTCTGTTTGGCCCCAGAGGGCAGAGGGAGGAACAGTGGGTGAAGTGGGAAAGAGGACAGCGTGGACTTGATGGTATGGAAAAACTTCCTCAAGGGAGCTGGTGATGAATGAAATTGGCTGCCGAGGCAGAGAGTGAGCTCCTCATTTGAGGGGAGGGAGGGAGTGTCTCCAAGCAGAACCTCCTTACTGTGCTCCAGAGGGAATGCCTTCCTTACACACACACACACACGCACACACACGTACACACACACGTACATACATACGTACATACATACGTACGTACATGCATACATTTTCAGGTATACATGTCAGGTTGCTCTTCCTGAGATTCCAACTCAAATTCATATTCTGTTTCCAAAAGTTAAAAGGTTTGAGATAAAACATCTCTCTTTTTGCAAACTGTTGATAACTGAACAGCTCTAGGGGCACATCCTTTGTAGGAGAGCACATTGTCCACATGGGATCTGTGAATTCAGTGTGTTTCTTTTAGCCCGTCCACCACAGTGGCTCCAGCGGCTATGGCAGCCTGGGCAGTAACGGCTCCCACGAGCATCTCATGAGTCAGACATCTTCCAGCGACAGCAATGGCCACCTCCATGAGGACTCGCGGAAGAGGAGGCCGGTACGTTGGGGGCTTTTCCATCCCTTTTGTTCCTATCAGAAATCAGGTGTACTGATGGAGGACGGAGGCCCCTGCATATCCCTTCACCGAGGTCAGACTGCTACAATCCCTACTCTTTCTGGCTACTCTCTAAATTCTTCATTCGAGACATCTTTAAAATTGACTCAGAGTTAAAGCATCTAAAAACTAATGTCATGTAAAGATCTCGATAGAAATTCTTTAAAAATAGGCCAATCCAGTAGAAGGCAGGGACCTGACCACATGACTTGAGAGAGAAGCAGTGTAGGATGGGGCTAGATCACCACTGGTGTCAGACGGCTGCCTTCTCACACTGGCTCTGCCAACTGCTCTTCGCTGGGGGTCTTACAGAATGAATGGGGCTGGGGGACCTGGTGACCCTGTCCAAGCTCCCCTCAGTCCCAGCATTTCAGAAGTGCAAAAGGTCACCCAGAGCTTCTCCAAGACAGGAGCCTCCAGAATGCTGGATCCAGTTTCATGCTGGGGGAGTGTTCTTACCAAAATGTTTCTGCCTTTGTGATATGATTCCATTGAGTTTAGGTGGCCCAGAGAGGGCAGTGTCTAATGAATGCTACTTTTGTTGTTTTCTTCAAGAATACCCGGAAAGGGATTTGTAAAGATGCCCAGAAGGTCACAAGCAAAAGCACCATTCTATTTGAGAGTGGAGAAGAAACAAGGAGGCCAGGTCCAGGTAGAGAGCCTCCCCCGTGGTGAGGGGCTGGCCAGAGGGACAGTCCTTAGACTGTTTGTCCAAGACAGTCAGACACTGGGGGTGGAAACCATTCGGAATCATCGACCGCAGGGAAAGGGCTGGGGGAGGGATTCTCACCTTGAGGGTTGTTGGTTGAAGTGACCACCGCAGCCTTCCTCGGTCAGAGATTCTAGAACACTGGAGCAAGCCAGCGCCTAGCACAGCAGAAGGGAATGAGATTCCCAGGGGCAGGCCGAGGCCAGAGTTGTGGGGCACCTGATTAGCTGGAGGGGTCAGGGTTGGAGTGCAGGCTCAGATGGATGGAGAAGAGGCTCCTGCATCACATTCACTAGCAGTGGTATTCTTTTGGGGGAAAGTGACATGCACGAGCCATTCTGCTGTTTTTACAGAAAGTCAGACTAATTTGAACACTCAAACCAAAGCTATATTGGCTCCTGAGAAGGACCGTGGAGGCCCCGGCTTGCCAAAGAACATAATGACAGAGGAGCTGGCCTGCAGGAACCAATCTGCGTACTCCTACCAGCAGATAAGCTGCTTAGACAGCGTCATTAGGTACACAACTGCCTTGATGTCGTTTTTCATCAGTCCTTCCTGGTTGAGGCCGACTCTTCCTTCATTTAAGACTTTCTCACCTTCACCTCCCACAGGTACCTGGAGAGCTGCAGCGTGGCTGGGCCACTGAAGAGGAAGTGTGAGTCCCTGCCCAGTGTGGCACCTTCGTCCCTAGAAGATGAGCAGAAGGCCCCGGCAGAGCCAGGACCACCGCCGGCAGCAGGTGATCCCGGGTCGGGCACTTAGCCGGGTCTTTTTTGGGTTTGGCCAAGTAACTACTTATTTCAAAATTCTTGGCACGAGAACTGAACGCCACTTTACAATTCTAAAAATGTACTTGTTTCCCTTTGTCATAGAGAGGTCCTAGTCAACCTTTTATCAGACCTTGGGAGAGAAGCTCTGACTTTTAAATAATTAACATCCTCAGAGCAAAGAGGAGACTCTTAGACTCAGAGCTGGACAGGACTCAGAGACCCGAAGGTCCAGGCCGCTCATTTGGAGACCGAGGGAGGAGTCATGTGCTCAAGTGCAGACAGCTGGACGGGGTCTGCCAGCTCGAGTTCTGCTCTGTTCCCCAGACTGGGGCTTCTGGAGTAGGAAGAGAGATGTGCATTTGGGCCCAGTGACCCAAAGCCCCTCACTGATTCAGGGAGCCCCCGGACGCTCAGATAACCGCCAGCTGTGCCGTCCTGTGCCCGAGCCCGCCGTCTCCCTACCTTTGCTCAGACAGCCCGCCCTTCTCGTCTCTGCCTCCTAAAATCCCTGGCTCTCTTTAATGTCCCACTCAGAGGCCACCTTCTCACGGCCTTTTCTGCCACCTCTGCCCTCCACTCCCATCACCTTTTGACGCACCTTCTCCCCAGTAAAATGTAAACTCCAGGAGGGCAGGAATGACTCCTTTTTGTGTTTCTTTCCTCGGTGCCTGGTACACAGTAGGTGCTTACTAAATGCCTACTTGTTGATAGATTCTACATTTTGAAGGGCTATGGAGTCGTATCGAGCTGCCATTTCCGTGATATCAGAGGACTCATTTATGATTATTTAAATTTAGTATAGATCAGATTAAAGGGGTTGCAGCAGGCTTGTTACATATTGTAAGGCCATCACCAGCATTAGGAAATGGAATATTGTAGAAAGGAGGGAAAAAGTCTTGGCATGGCAACAATCTACAGCAGGTCCTTTCCTTGTGAATGAGGAAAGAAAAAACCGCTCCTTTTCCAAGACCGAGCAGATTCTTCCAGCCCAGTAGGGATGATTTAGTAATGATAGCAACGTCCTTAGAGTAGCCGCGTGCCCCAGGAGGATGGGTCCGCTGTTGGGAGCGGAGCACTTCCTTTCCTCTTCCCTCTTTGGAGTGTGTGGGGTCACGGGGCCACATGACCACCTCTGCAGAGACAGGAAGGGGTCTGGCTCCTCCAGTGCAGCTGCCATGTGGATTGGCCCTTTGGGTCCCAAGACACTGGGTTGAGCAGAACGTGCTGACCACTCTTGCATCTCCTTGTCACCCACTCTTCATTTTTGTCTTTTTTTTTTGACTCTTCTAAAGAGGAGACGTCGATGGTGAAAGTTCCCTTAAATCCTGCTGTGGCCGTCCTGAAGCCGTCCAAAGCAAACAGCCGCCCGGTGGTTGGCGCTCACTTGACCTCCTTGGCCCTCCCTGGCAAGGCTGAGAGTGTGGTTTCCTTCACCAGTCAGTGCAGCTACAGCAGCACCCTGGTCCACGTGGGTGACAAGAAGCTGCAGCCTGAGTCAGGTGGGTTTGCCGCTGCCGCCATCCCATTCTCGAAGCTCAGAGGAGCTTCTGTCTCCAAGGCCCAGTGCGATGACCCTTTGACAGTTCCCTCAACTCCCTGAATGTACCGCATGACTTTGGTTAACACGAGTGGCCTTTTTATTCCATTTAAAAGCAATGATGTGAAAACCAGCCAATATGAGGGCTCTGGTTTCCCCCAGAAGAGTCTCCAGGACAATTCTGGTCTGGGTTCCGTTCCACTAACTGACCGGCTACCATTCTGTTGTGTGATAGATGTCAAAATCACTGTCTCTGGGGTCTTGAATCACCAACAAAAGATTAAATAGCGCTCAGTACAGTGGATTTAATAAGGTAAATGCATTTGAGGAAGATTTTTCCATCACAGTTTAAAACAGACCAAAGTCTTCTAGTTCAGCAGGGTTTTCCTCTGATTTTAGCATTTACTGAGTCATTTAAAAAGTCAGAGATGTGAGCACAGATGTCCTTACCTGCTGCGGGCCTCAGGAGCCAGCATCACAGGAAAGAATGACAGGAGGACGTAGCTCTGTGTGGTGTTGTGTCAAAGGCAAACCGTGAATAACAGCGTTTGAGCCTGTGTCTCTTTCCCTGTTCCCCCAGAGATGATAGAAGACCCCGCTAGTGGAATGGAGTCCCTGGACAGTGCAGCCACCCCCTCCTCTCATCGCGACTCCAGCCCGGAGAAGGGGCCCCCCAAGAAGGTGGGTCTGACCAAAGAGGTGCTCGCCGTCCACACGCAGAAGGAGGAACAGAGCTTCTTGCACAAATTTAAGGAAACTAGAAGACTGGGTACATTTCAGTCTCGCTGCCATTATTACCTACAGGAGAGGTCCAAGGGGCGCCCTGGAGAACGCGGTGAGTGACTGACCTCCAGGGCAGGGAAAGTCTTATTCTGTCTTGGGTGTTTGCTTCATCTGCCTTTCCCACTGTTTACCTCCCTTCGCCTGTGCCAGAGATCAATGCCCTGCAACAGAGAATAAAAATCAGGGGAATGTCCCAGAGGCCGGCACCGTCTGGGCCTTCCTGTCCCATAGTCCTTCACGTCACATCGGGAGAGAGCCAGAGGGAAGGGCTTGCTGGTTCATGTTCCAGGCATCCACCTTCATCTGCTTTATTGTGGCCGTTGTTTGTGTTCACATTGTTGTGGTTGGGGTGTGAGTGTGTGTGTGTGTGGTCCCATGGTCGTTAGAATCCAAATCCTGTTCCTTTGCTGGGTGGGTTCTGCAGTGTGCTGGAACTGCTGGTCCAGAGAATGAAGGTGGCCCCCAGGGCTTCCTCTCATCTTCTTACCCTCTCCTTCAGGTCAGTGGCCACTTAGGGAAGCCCTTGACTTGACGTACAGGTTACAGGCCGTTCACAAGATTGCTGCCAGCACCAGCTGCCCCGAAGGCTGGGATGCCTCCAGGCCTGGCGCCTCCTGCACTCTGGCCTTCTGCTGACTCCCAGAGGGCTGAGTGTGCAAGGTGGCTCGCTAAAAAAAACCTAATTCAGGTCATTTTTGCATTTATCTTAGTTGTTCGAGGACTAAGAAATAGTATTTCTGGAGTGGATTCATCTTGGAAAAAAAACGGAAAGAACCGAAAACAAAAATCCAAGCGAATTAAGCCGCACGAGTCATCGGACAGCACGACTTCGGGCACCAACGTCCCTCCTCGGTCGCCACTGGTTGGCCTGAACTCTACGGCGTGGTCACCGTCAGACACTTCCCAGGCCAGCTGTCCTCCAGCCTCGTTTCCTACAGTGGTGCCTGCATACTCTCTGCCTGTTTTTCCATCACCGGGAATTGTCCCAACCTCCGGAGATGCAGCTGCGCGGGCCTCCCAGGCTCATGTGAATGATTCGGGGAACTCCCAGCCTTATATTTCCCTGCAGCCACCAGCATTCACCGCCCCCCTGACTCCGGTCATGGCAGTCGTGTTACCCAGTTACACGTTCCCTCCGATGCACCCTGCTGGGCACCCGTCGTTCTACCCTGGCCAAAGTAACTGTCCCCAGCATCCCGCATGCTCTTCACCGGTGGTGTTTGCAGCCCAGCCCGACTTCCCTGCTCAGGCGTCTTTCTCATCACAGACACTATGCCCAGCACAGTCCTTTAATTACCCGCTGGGTGAAAGGGAAAGGCCTCCTGCCGCAGGGGCCCCCGAGGGGCCATCTCGATCCACGACACCCCAGTCCACGGGAAGACAGGACCAAGCGTCACCACCGCTGTTCCAGTCCCGGTGCAGTTCCCCCTTACAGCTCAATCTGCTCCAACTGGAAGAAACACCCAAGGCTGCGGACAGCACGGCGGCGGCTGTTTCTGCATCGTTGGGAGGACGTGGCCTATTGAGTGAGGGATCAAATAATAAAACAGTCAAGTTTGATGACAACAAGAGACCGGCGCCTCGCAGAGTAAGCATTTAGTCCGTTCTCCTAAAGAGCTGGGAGTAGCTGGGAGGAAGGCAGCGTCTCTGCTGGGTTCTCGGTCCTGGACCGAAACTTCCCTGAACACATGAATCAGTGCCTCAGCCAGACTGCTTTTCAGCAGCTCTTTACAAGGCCGTCAGGAAGGCCAGAGATAAGCTGTGCTTTTGAATTTCATTCCAGCAAATTCGAATATTCTAAGTGTTTCTTTTTTCCAAAAAGAACCTAGAATTCAGTGTCACTCAGGGACGATAAAACGGAACTTCAGAGTAACAGCTTCTGTTTCCCTGGTCCATTTGAAAGATGAGCCTTCAAACCTAGGGGAAAGACAGCGGTCGGCGGTAGGGACCTTGGAAGGGCCCTGAGCACGGTCAGCTCTGTGCCTAAGGAAGCGTAGTGGGCAGTAGGGATTGGAGTGGGCAGTGTCCTTGAGGTGGCGAGCCCAAGGGGGGAGGGTGTTGTCCCCGCCAGGGGCTGCTGCAGCGGTGGGGACAGCGGGAACAGAAAGGCAGCGGCGGGTCGAAGAGATTGGAGGGCCTGGCAGCCAGCTGAGAGCATAGAGAAGGTGAGAGTCAGAGATGGCACTGGGACCTGGAGCGTGGGTGACTGAAGGGATGGTGGGGAGAGCCCTGACCTGGGCTTCAAGTCAGCTCTGGGGCCTGGGACGAGTCCCTTAAACTTTCCGGGCTTCAGTGTCCTCATTGTCACATGAAAGGGCTGGACCAGATGCCCCGTGGGGCCCCTCCAGCTTCAAGGCCACGGCCGAGGGTTTCCCATCACCCACAGAGCCTCTCGAGAGCAGCGGGCTTTGTTCCCTTCTCTTGGGCAATGATCCATCAATAAGGGCTCTACTCGGGGCAGCTGGGTGGAGCAGTGGATGGAACAGGAGGACCTGAGTTCAAATCCAGTATCAGGCACTTGACACTTACTAGTGTGACCCTGGGCAAGTCACTTAACCCCATTGCCTAATCCCCGCCCCCCCCAAAAAAACAAACTGCTCTACTAAAAAAGATCTTGGAGCTACGTCTGTATTAGGCCGACTCCTTAAGGCTTTAAAAACAAGGGGATATTCATCGGTCAGTCAACAAGCTTTTATTGAGAGTGCTGTGTGCTAGGCTCAGTGCTGGCCACTAGAGACACGAAGACAGAACCTAAGCTTCCCTCGGAGTTTATGTTCCGTGGGGCAAATGTCTACGAGGCAGACACAGAGAGGTAGGTACAGAATGAGTCCAAATGAAATCAGGTCTGTGCTGACTTGCCTTCTTCCTGCTTGGCCTTAGGAAGTAGTGCCGAGTGTCCACCTCCAGCTTGCCACCTTTCCCGTTTCTGAGGAAGGGTGCAGTGCTGAGGAGCTTAATGAAGCATGGCCTTTCCCTTCTCCTAAACAATCCTATCTCTGTTTCTCAAGATCGACTCGCCGATGGACGCCCACGACAGTGACGCCCTTTCTACGTCCAGTGACTTACTCGAGATTTTGCTGGCAGAAGATGGGTGCTCCGCCTCTGGGTCGGCTTCCTCTGGGAGCGGCGTATCGGCCGCCTCTGAGTCTTTGGGGTCCGGGTCTCTCGGCTGTGGCACGTCCAGAACTGGCACCGGTGAGTCCTGCCGACTTTGAAATACTATCATGTTAAGAAAGCACAGGACTGGGGCAGCTAGGCGGCGCGGTGGATAGAGCTAGCAGGACCTGAGTTCAAATCCGGCCTTAGATGCTCGACACTTACTAGCTGTGTGACCCTGGGCAAGTCACTTCACCCTGATTGCCTCAGCAAAAAGCAAAAAGAAAAAAAAAGAAAGCAAGCAAGCCCAGGACCTGTTGGAGTTGTCCTTATGCCGGCTCTCGTCTGTTCTCCGCTGGTCTGTTTTTAACCCTACTCCAGCTAGTAATTCTTAGGGTTTTTTAATGGACCTGTTTTGTTTTGACACAGCACTTCCTTCCTGATTAACAACCCTGGCAAACCTTGTGCTAAAAACCAGGGGAGCAAAGCCATAGTGATTACTCCGAGCAGCACTTACGGCTTTCTTCCCTTGTGGTTTTCCATTTCTTTTTTGAAAGGAAAAAAGTGTGGTTTTGATGTCAGATTTACTCATTGGTTCCCTGTTAACTCCCAAGATCAAATGTAAGCCATTTTCTTGGGCTTTTACAACCCTTTGCAGCCTGGCCCCAGCTGTCCTTCCAGTTCTGTATCCTCCTCTTAGCACGCTCTGAGGTCCAGCCTAACTGGCCTCAGCTTCTCATGCACAGTGGTCCATCTCTGGTCCCCGGGCCTTTGCACCGGCCGTCCCCCTCTGCCTCAGAGTCCTTCTCTTCCTGTAAGACACAGCGTAAGAAGCACCTTCTGCCTCGGCCTGGTGGCGCCCGCCTGGCCTCCCTTCTACAGAGGAGGCTGAGGCTGGCAGGTGCCTCAAGTTCAGGAGTGCTGAGCAGCGGCAGGGCTAAGGCCAGCCAAGCCCCACCAATATGCTGAGTCCCTGGGGATGGGGGACCAGCCTGGGTTGGAAACAGAGCAGGTCAAAACTTCAGGGCTGATCAGCAGCAGGATTGGGCCTGTGAGTGACCACAGGGTGAGATGGGGAGGCCTGGGCTTTAAAAAAAAAATAGGAGGAGGAAGAGGAGGAGGACCGCCTTGTGGCCACAGGCTTTCCCAATCCCCTTCCTTCCCTCCCTTGGGCTGAGCTGCCCGGCTAGCCTTGGACAGGCTTGCGTATGCGTATGCTGCGGTCCGCCTTTAGAACATGCGGCTCCTGGAGGGTCAGGGGCTGGTCCGGGGTTGTCTTTGTGGCTCCTGCCCCGGCACCCAGAGGCTCCTAATTGATGCCTCCTGCCTGATGGCCCTCCATCCGTGCCCACGCTAGCAGGTTGGCACCTGGCAGGGCGGACGGTTCGGGTCGGCTGAGGAGCCCGTGGGGAGATGGCAGGGAAGCCCTCATGGGACTGACCGTGTGCTTGGCCTGGCCCAAAGGCAATGCAGGGAGAGGGGGCCAGAGGGGAGGGCTTGTTCGTGGCAGCCATTTTGAGTTTCCTTGAGAATCCTTGGAAATAGTAGCAAAATGCAGAGGGCAAGTGGGGAGCCAAATGGCCATCCTGGAGAAATCTTGCCTTTGGATTATCCAGATAATTTAAGAATTAAAAATAAACAGAAAACGATATCCGTTACCCCAGGCACTCCTCCAAATAGCTGCCATTTCTCTTCTTTTTCCCTTCTTGCGCACGCGGACACACTGGGTTTTGTGACGTGCGGTTTTCTCTGGTTGTACAGGCAGCAGTGAGACGAGCCACACCAGCAAATACTTCGGGAGTGTGGACTCCTCGGAGAATAGTCATCGGGCCAAGCTGACCGCTGGCCTCCCCGAAAGTGAGCAGTTCCTCAAGTGCATCCTGCAGGACCCAGTCTGGCTGCTGATGGCCAACACCGACAGCGACGTCATGATGACCTATCAGCTGCCTTCCCGGTGAGCGCTTGGCCATTGACTTGGGCCTTCAGTAGGTGGGCTGGCATAGGCCGCAAAGCAGGGGAGAGCCGGCCTCCGCTCCTGCCTCTGATGCCCGCCGGCGGGGCGGCCCCGGACACGTCCCCCCCAAGCCTGCGGCAGCGCGGGAGGGCCCGGACATTCCCTGTCCCGTGAAGTCGCCGATTCCCTGCACGAATATCTGTCCCAGCCCTTAGCGTTGGTCATCTTTCAGAAGGGCTAAGGAGATTCCATGTCGATGCCTCCAGCCAGGTTCTTGCAGGAGCCTCCTCATGGGCCTCCCTTCCTCAAGTCTCTGCTGCCCTTCGTTCTGCTACCAGAGAGATTTTCCTAAAGCACGGGTCACTCCTCTGCTCAGTTAATCTCAGCAGCTCCCTCTCACCTCCGGCATCCATAACAAACGCCTCCATCGGGCTTTGGAGCCCTCCCCAGCCTGGCTGCAGCCCCCTTTCTAGCTTCGTCATCTCCCCTGGTCTTCTCACTGTTCTTCCCAGAGGCCCCTCGTTGCCCACCTCCATGCTGTGCCACCCGATTCCCTCAGGCGCTGCCTTCTGCGTTAGACCCTTTCTGGCCCCTCTGCCCACCTCCTCTCTCTGTGGTTTGTACACACTTCTGGATCGTGTAACCCAGGGGATGCCAACGCCCTTGATTAGCTGGCGGCTTTGTCATTACAAGGTTGGCCTGGGCCTGTGCTCCCAGAGAGCTTCGCGTAAGTGGGCGGCCCGTGGGATCCCCCGAAGCTGTGACTCTGGGAGGTGAGCAGCGCGGTTTCCCAGGGTCCCTAGCAAGTAGTTGACCTCAAGTCCAGTGTCCCCTTTGCCTCATCCCAAGCCCGTTGTCCCAGACCCTAATGCCCAGGGGAGGCATCTTCAGGCCTGCCCTTTTTATCGCATCTTCTGCATCCTTGTCATCAAAGGAATGAACTTGGTCTTGTTGAGATACAAGGGATGCGGAGACGGGGAGACGGGGAGGGGCTCACTGCCAAGCTGTGGCGGGGACGGTGTCTGCTGGTCAGTCAGTCTGTCTGTGCAGGAGTCTGGGTTGGGGTGGTCACTGTGGGCTGGGACTGAGCCTTTGTGGCAACCTCAGCCTAGAGCTGAGCTTCCTGGGCTGGCTGGGAGCCTGAGGAGGGGAGGGGTCCCTGCCCAGAACTACATTTGTGAATGTACACAAGAGTGGCCTTACAGAGAGAACCGATGCTGTCCAAATACAGCAATCGCCGTTTTTAATTTTTTTGTTAATATATTTTTAGTTTTCAACGATCACTCCCATAAGCTTTTGAGTTTTAAGTTTTCTCCCCCTCCCTCCCCACCTCCCTCCCCAAGATTGGCGTGCAATGTGATATAGGCTCTACATATACATTCTATTAAATATATTTGCCATTTTTTTTTAAGAAACAATTCTGGTACCCCGTGGTCAAGAGCTCTTGCTAAAGAAAAACACTGTGGGATTTGATCCTTTTCAGGTCGAGAATAAGGTCATTTGTCTGATATGAAACGAATAGCTCCACAGACTCGTCCTCCCCATCCGTCTCTCAGTTGGCTTTTATTAGTTTACTTAAAGATGAGAAGTCACAGCTCTCCTAATGGTCATGATCTGCCAGGCGGATTCTTAGGGGACCTGGGATTTTATGGGGGGCTGAGGGAAAATGCGTCTAACCCGACCACGGCCAAGACATACTAATAAATAAATAATGAACTGATGTGGGAGAAGAGGACTGGGCGGGGCGGGCTGAAGTTGACTGAGAACCTTCTTCATCTCTGCTCAAGAAATCTAGAAGCTGTTCTGAAGGAAGATCGAGAAAAGCTGAGGGCGATGCAGAAATCGCAGCCCAGGTTTACGGAGGAGCAGAAGCGAGAACTGCACGCGGTCCACACGTGGATGCCCCGGGGAGGCCTGCCCAGAGCACTCGACCTGGCCGTAAGTGGACTGCCCGGCGTCTTGGGCCCGAGCAGTGCCGTGATGGGCCACCAGGGGGCGCGCTGGTGGTCCTGCATCCCAGTCTGTCCCCTGTTCCTCATCTGTAAAATGGAATAATAACCCGCCTCCCAGGATTGTTGTGAGGATCAAAAGAGGCAAATTTGTGGAGCTCTTAGTGCTAACACGGTACTGGGCACACAGTCGTGTCCGACACCCCCGACCCCATTGGGGTTTTCTTGGCAGAGATACTGGAGCGGTTTGCCATTTCCTTCTCCAGCCCATCTTACAGATGAGGAAACTGAGGCAAGCAGGGTGAAATATCTTGCCCAGGGCACACAGCGGGCACTATATAAAGGCGCCTGCCTTGTTGGAGCTCCCGAGTCTGGGGGTAGGGGGCAGTCAGCAGAGCCGAATAACAAAGGAAGGCTGAAAGTTTCATGCTCCTGACTAGATGGCAAAGGAGGGGGAGATTTTATTGGACGGGGAGGATGTATCGATGACGACGGGCCAGTCACCCAAGGGGGACGATGTGGGGCAGGTCCTGGGGACAACCTGCCATCCCTATGGGGAGTCAGAGACACAGGCAGGAGCTCACTGAGAGGCCTTGAATGTGAAATAAAGACCGAGACAGCAGGAAGCCGCTAGAGGTTCTGTCCTCTTTTTTGGTCTGGCTCTGATTTCATCAGCGTGGAGGGACCTCCTCAGTGGAAGGTCCCTCCTCTGATGCAGGTGAGCAACTCCTCTGTGACTTCCAGCCTTAGAGAACCACCTGGGGCCCTCACCGGGTCCAGGATCACGGGACCAGTGTGTGTCAGAAGCAGGATTTGAACCCAGGTCTCCCGACCCCAAGATCAGCTCTTTGTCCTCTGTAGATGGCGCCACCAGAGTCCCCCAGGCTGGGGGGGGGGGGGGGGGGGCCCCCCCGGCCGCGCGGGGGGGGGGGGCCCCCCCCCCAAGCCCGGGGGGGGGGGGGGGGGGTGCCTGGGACTCCTTCCTCAGCCCCACGCCTTCCAGGGCCATCTGTTCAGCCTGACTATATGTGGCATCTTCTCCTCTCCCTTTTATGTCTGCTATCCTTTTCAAATCCAGTGCAGGGAACATGAGGAGGCTGAGCTAATTAAGAAAATCGGTCTAGGAAAGGCCCATCAGGGTCATCCAGTAGACCCGAGCAGGAATCCCGCCTCCTCTTAAGTACCTCCAGTGATGGGCAGCTCACTACCTTATGGGGTAGCCCCAGCAGTTAGCTGTTGCCCTTGGCCCCCAGGGGCCACGCAGGACAATGTCTGATCCCCTTCTGGGTGACATCTGGAGTGAGGCTTCAAAGGTTCTTTAATGGCCCTTGGAAGCTTAGCCACGTCTGTGCAGCCCAATTGTGCGGCATTTTCTCCAGGCCCTTTGTGATGCTGGTCACTTCTCCAGACGTGCTGCAGCGTGTCCGTGTCATTCCTGAAGTGGGGTCTGCAGGACTTCACATGAGGTCTGACCAGGCAGAGGACGGGGGGTGCTGAGGCCCATCTAACTGGGCATAGGGCACAGGACTCTCACCAGACAGTAATGAGAGAAGGAGAAGGCAGGACTTTGGCCAGGCCCAGCCGTGCTCCGGCAGCAGGCGAGGCGAGGACGCCTCTCTCCTCAGGCCCTCGAGCGTGGGCTCTGCCCCCAGGACCGGGCCCTCAGCGGGTGCTGGGAAAGCTAGGCCTGACACCCAGGCATCTTTCTGTCCGGTGCCAGCCTTGGCTCCTGGTATTGTGTCTCAGCCCCGATCCTGCTAGGCCTGACTCAGGCGTCCTGGTCATCTGCCTTTCCTTCTCTTAGTGTGTGTGTGTGTGTGTGTGTGTGTGTGTGCGTGCGTGCGTGCGTGTGCATCTGTGTGTCTGTGTGTATGTGTGTGCATGTGAATATGCATGTGTGCCTGTGTGTGAGTGTGCATGCATGTGTGCGTGTGTACAAGACAGTTGCCACATCCAGCCCTGTGTTGGAGACACTTGTGTCTCCATCTCATCTCCCTGCGCGTGGGAGGTCTCTGAGGCCAGAACCTGGGTCTGTGTCTGAAGTCTCCCACACGTTGTGAGCACACATTTGTGGGGTGTGCAGTCTGTCCCTTTGCAAAGCCGTCTGCAACGGGTCAAGGCCAGGTCGGGTAGGGTGAGGCGCAGCGTCCCCACAACTACACTCAGGCCAGGCTAGTGAGGTCAGGTGGAGTATCCCACTGTACCGACAGGAAGTTAGACCCAGCTGAAGGATGGGGCCAGAGTGGGTGCTGCAGCTCCTCCAGGGCAAAGCCAAGGTCAGAATCTGGAGGGAAAAGGCCGGGAGCCTAGCTCGATGGGTGGCTGAGCCGGCCGCGTGCTCAGGTCTGGCCCGGATGTGAGGGCCCAGGATGAGTCCTGCGGGGCTGGGCCAGGAGCCCCAGAAGCGTAGCCTCTCCCGGGCAGACGCCCACGATGGCATGTTTTCTCTCATGAACTTAGCAAATGTCTGCCTGCTCACCAGCCCTGTCCCCTTCTGTCCTTTCCAGATGTGCCCCGACTGCGAGGACAGCCAGAGAGAGCGCGTCGATGGGCCGTATGACGAGGACCTTCCAACAATGGAACTCAGCGAAATGATGGAAACCCAGGGCGAGAAGGGCGTCCGGCCCACACCCCGAGGGACCAAAGAGGCGACCTAGCCGCACGTGAGCACCCCGGGCGCCTGCTGGCCAGGGGGCCGCGGCCGAAAATGCTCTAGGGACTGTTCAGACAGCTTGAAGCTTGGTCTGAGTGAAGTAACTTATTCATGTCAACTTTTTTGTTTTAGAAAAAAGGACGCTTGTCTGAAGGAATCAGTGTAAGAACTGGTGAGATTCACTGCACTGTGTGTAGGCTAAGGGAAGAGAGGGGCTTCAGGTGTTCCACCTTTAATTCAGCAGATGGACAGGAGCTCTGCAGAGTGGACGGCACTGCTCCCACGAGGTCACCGTGCGCACGTCGCACACAGCCGTCTTTTCCCAGTTGAATGTGTGACCCCTGTATCCGGGGAGAGTTTCTGGGGATTCCCCTCAGAGGACATGTTGAAGACCCAATGGGAGGTCATTCAAAGCTTGCTATGTAAAAATTAAGTTGTTAATATTCAAGAAAATTGTTTCGGGCTGTCAAAATGTCCAGCCCCCAATTCTGTCTTATTTATTGAGCTTCTTTCTATCTAAATTATAATTTAGTCATAGTAAAAAAAAAAAAAAAAGTTTAAAAAAAATAGGGAAGCCAGAGAGCAAATCAGGCCCCTTCTCACCTTTCTGACAACTGCCCAGGCCTCAGTGGCCTGATAGAGGACCGGGGGGTGGCTCTGGGGTCTGCGGCTGCCAGGGAAAGCATTGTAATAGACAGACAAACAAAAAAAGATGAGATTTGTGATGAGTCTGGTGAGATGCTTGTTCACACTTTTAGTGAAGGCGATGGTGTATGATATGTTACAGGAGATAAAGTCTCAGGCGGCCTCACCCAGTCATGGACATGTATGGAAGTGTTCTTGATCCAGCTCTGGCAGGGTCAACTGTTACGGTGGGATGCAGGCAGCACAGGAGAGACCCTCCAGCCAGGGGCCAGCTGATGGCTTGGGGCTCGCCCCAGCCCCACACTGAGCCCACTTTATGCTGACTGGTCTCCCCCATCCCTAGTCCCCAAATCAGTTGTTGGTATTGTTGTTGTTACTGTTACTCCGTCACCGTGCTCCAAGAGTATGGTCATCATTCTTCAGCCTCTCGTTCTTGTCAGTCAGCCGTTCCCTTCACGTACTTGACCCTGCAGAACCTGCTGATGCTGAGAATTAATTACTGAAGTACCGTGGAACCAAAATCCTCTAGAGCCTTTGTGCTGTGACCCCGGGTGCCGGGACGTGACGGGCAATGCCCCGTTTGCACACTGGCCTGGCCGGCCCTGGCAGGTCCCCCGCCCTGGTTCCTAGGCCCGATGTCAGACCTAATGCCTTTTGAGGCTGCAGGTTGTTCTGGCCTTGAGGAGGCCTAGGGAGACCCAGCTGTTTGATGGATACTCTGCAAAACCTGGAGATTATCTGGGAAGTTAGATAGTTTGGAAAACCAGTGCTATCTGCTTGTGTTGGGTGGGAAATGATCATTGATAAGACAGTTCATTTTAAATCGGACTCTGGTGTGAAGAAACAGAGGAGGAAGGAGTTTTGTGTTCTTTTCTCCTCCATGGCCTTTAAGTTAAAAAAAAACAAACCTGCCTTCATGATTATGAAGACCATTAAGTGGTTTTGTTTTTTTCAAGGCTCTCTACAGTAAATTCACTTTAGTCTTGAAAACAAAACCCGTCAGCTGCCAGATCAGACCTGGAAAACTGCAGTTCTAAGTGAATCTAAAAAATATTCCTATCCTTTAAGCCTGAGGCAGGGCTCGCCTTGGGATTTCAGCAGCTTTTCCGTGACTCCCTCTCAAGTGGGATGGCGGTTAGCGCTCTGAGACTGCACGGTACACACACACGCGCACGCACGCGCTTTCCAGAGGGGTTTGTTTCTCGTCTGTGTTTTTGTATCATCTCATCCAGACAGGGACCGTCTTTGCCTACCTGCTTTAACAAAGTGTCAGTGATCGGAGCTCTTCAGGTCATTTCGTGGCTGTCTTTCTCTAGTATCAGTAATTAAGCCCGGCCTCTTTTTCTGTGAAGCGGACGGACAGACAGCCGGGTGTACACGTGGAGCCGGCTGTCAGGGGACGTCCGCCGCCTTTGAAAGCTGAGCCTGTGTCCGAGGTTTCCCAAAGTGTGCATTGGTCCTAATTTCAGCTCCGTGTGATGCCTTGTTTCAGAGTCTTTGTGGACAAGCAGCTTGATCCTGCGAGGATTCTGAGTTCACTGTTCGTGGCTACTTTTTATGACTTTTTTGCCTTTTAGAAAATTGGCTAAATAAAGTAAATATATTTTTGTTTGTCTCATTTTCTTGGGTCTGTGACAGCACATCCACCACAAAGCAGCCCAGAAAGGAACGAGTGAAATGGGCGATTAACCACGCAGGAGCTAGAATTGAGATCAAACAAACAAACCAACCTACTCCCCTGCAAACGTGATTGGCAGTTGTTTTTTTTTTATGCTTTTTGGTGAGGCGATCAGGCTTAAGTGACTTGCCCAGGGTCACACAGCTAGTAAGTGTCATGTGTCTGAGGACGGATTTGAACACAGGTCCTCCTGACTCCAAGGCCAGAGCTCTATCTACTGCGCCATCTAGCTGCCCTGATGGGGAATGTTCTTGAAAGCAACCTTAATTTAAAAAAAAACAGTCCCCTGGCACTGGACCCATAAGAAAGCTGGGGACTCCTCCCATACAGTGTATTAACCTGGTCGTTTAGCCCAATAAAAGGTTTTGCCAAGTCTCTCATCATCCGTGAGGAAAACGGGGCAAAATGGGGACGTGACCCAGTTTGATGGTGAGGAGCCCCGGGCCCTCTGCTTGGCCCTGTGCTGAGTGAACACTCACAGTCCTCTGGATAAAGGCCTGCATGGCCTGCTCCTCGAGTTCACAGAGGACACCAGGCTGGGCGGCAAAGCTAGCAAAGCTCGATGACAGCTGGGATGCCAGAAAGATTTTGATAGGATAAAAAATGGAGCTGCATTGGCCAAGATGGAATTCAGTGGAGATGAGGAGAAAATCTGACCCTTGGGATCAGGAACTTGGGCCCAAGCCTGGGGAGCTGGGGCTACCTACCAGTTTGTCTGGAAAAAGAGCCTGGGGTACTAGTGGCCTGCCAGCTCAGTATGATGTAATACATAGTACAATATGGAAGGCAAGATGATTTGAGGCTGGATTATTAGAGGAGGCTGCATTGATTCCAGGAATGAAGAGGAGACAGTCCCTCAGTTTACCACATCCCTGGAGTATTATTGTCAGTGCATTTTAGAAAGGATGTTGATAAGACAAAGAGGAAGGCAGTGATGATGACAGGATGACGGGCCTTGAGTCCAGGTCACAGAAGAATCAGCTGAAGGAACTGGGGCTGCAGAAGGGAAGGCCCAGGGGCCATCATGGCTGTCCTCCAGAACCTGGAAGGCTATCCTGGAAAAGAGAGATTAGATCTTTCTATAGGGCTCTTTCCCAGGGCATGAGTTCCAGGAGGTCCTACTGAGCTAGGACAGCTTCAGGGACAGGCCCCTAGAGGACTGGGGGCCTCTTGTCCAAGGGCCGGCCTACCTCGGCTCACAGAGGCCCACCACTGAGGAGCGGGGTGGGAGGCGAATGGGGCTGGAGATTTTGGCCAAAGTCTGCCTGTTCAGCCCTAGAGAGGGGGGTTGGGAACCAGGTCAGGGGGGGAAGCACCCACATAGGCAAGATGCAAGCGCTTTCTTCGGCTCCCAGGACTTGGAAGCCCCCTCTAACTTTATAACTGAGGGCCAGGAGGTCATAGGAGCACAGAGCTAAAGCAGGAAGGGCCCGAGGCCTGGCCCCAGATCACCAGGTGGGATGTAGGGATCTGAGCCTGGAGCCCCTGCACGCCAAATCCAGCCTCTTCCCACCACATCCCTCTCTCTCTCCTTGAAGTCTTGATCAGATGTGGGTGCCTAGGCCCAAAGGGCACAATTTTGCCCCAAAGCAAACAAACACCTTCCCAGGCGGCCGGCCCTTCGTGTCTTCACTAAGTGATGGGTGGCTACCAGACTGTCTCTGGCACCTCCTCGGCACAGATGGAGGGGCCTGCCTGGTTTATGGTGTTTACTCGTACCCGGTAGGACTGAGAGTTGTGTTTCCAGGTCGAGGCCCCTTGGAAGAGTTCCTGGCCAGATCAAAGCTCGGAAGGCTGCAGAACAATCCACTTACCCAAGGGCCCTTTGAACAGGGCCGTTGGACCTCAGGGACAAATGGCAGCTAGTGAGTCCCCAGAGGCTGAGGCTAGGGAGGGGGAGGCAGTGACAGGGGGAAACTGCCTGTAGCCACAGAGAACGAACGTCAGGGCTGGAAGAGCCCTATGTCACATCCTCCTCAATTTGGAGCCAAGAGGGACCTTTGGTCTAACTTCCCCCACTTTACAGCTGAGCAAACTGAGGCAAAGAATGGGGAGCTGATTCACCTAAGACCACACAGCTAGAAAACTGTCTAAGGCAGCGTTCAAGGTCCTTCTGCTTTCATGTCTGATGCCCTTCCCGCTACCCGCCCTTAACCCATCCTGCCATGGAGACTGATGCACGGGTCCTGGGACCCTCGGGAGCCGTCTGGTGAAGCCTGTGGGCCCCTTCTCAGGATCACGTACATGAGCACGGAAGATTGCAAAGGTATAATGACGTAACTGTTTTCCCATCCGGCTTCACAGACCCCCCAGATAAAGAGCCCCTCTCTAGAATGAGGCTCCTGCTGTAACAATGCTAAATGGAGGAGTGTTGTGACAGGTCTTGTTCCCAAAGACAGGAGGGGAAATGTAAGCACCATCACCCTCCTCATTTTACTGAAGAAGAAACTGAGGCCTACACGGCAGTCACGTGTCCAGGATTCCACAACTACTTAGTGCCAAAGGCTGGACTCAAACCCAGGTATTTTGAGTCCAGGCACAGTACTTGGGCTTACCCTACCTCTTGGGCAGCCGTAGGTCCATTGGAAAGAACCCTGGATTATAGTCTATTCAGAGAATCATGTGTATTGGAGATAAAAGGGAAACTGGGGATCAACTCTAAGGCAGCTAGGGGGCGCCATGGTGCACAGAGCGCCAGGCCTGAAGTCAGGAAGACTCATCTTCCTGAGTTCAAATCTAGCCTCAGACACTTACTGGCTGTTTGACCCTGGGCAACTCATTTAACCCTGTTTGCCTCAGTTTCCTCATCTGTCAAGTGAACTGGAGAAGGAAATGGCAAACCACTCCAGTGTCTTTGCCGAGAAAATGAGGTCACGAAGAGTCAGACGTGACTGAAAAATGACCAAACAACAACAAAAGAGGTCAGCTAGGCCAATCCTTCCTTTGACAGGTAAGGAAACCGAAGCTCAGAAAAGAGAAGTAAATGCCCAAGTCGACAAGCATATATTAAGCACCTACTGCATGCCAGGCATTGCGCTAAGTACTGGGGGTTCAAACAAAGGCAAAAATAATCCCTGCCCTCAAGGAGCTCACATTCTAATGGGGGAGACAAAAGTGCATACAAATACATTCTGGGTAACCTGCACTCACAACTCAAGAGCAATGTCCCCTGCAGAACAGAGCTGCTCACCGGGCAGCCGAAGCGCCCCTCCCCCGTCACTCCCCCAGGAGTCTCAGGTGCCTTCTCCACCGGCAGGACAGTCAGCAGCAGCCCAGAAAGTACCATGCGCTCACCTCTGCAATTCAGAAGTGGAAAAATTACAGAAAGAGGAGAGAGTGAAAAACGTCCCCATCCTCTCATGGAAGGGCGGGGGGCTAGGAGACAGGATGCTGAATACTCCATCTGATGGAACGACTATGTTGGTCATCTTTGCTTGCGTGTTTTTCTTCGTTACAGGGGACTAGTGAATCCTGGAGAACTGTAGTGGGGTAGAGGAGGAAGGGGAGTTATTCCTGGAAATGACTGGAATGTGAGAACAAAGACGCCAATAACGCAGTAGGAGAGGGAATTACTTTAGTGGCTGAAGGCTTAAGGTAACTCGCAAGAGTTAGAGGAGACCTAGCTCATAGGAATTCGGGGTCCCCTTCCCCAACTGAGGTATCAACAAATGGTTCTGAAGCACCTACTATGCGTGCACCCTCCAGATTTCTCACCCCGTGGCAAAGCCCTGATTGCCCCGTATTTGGTATCGCTCTGGCAGCTGGGCCAGATTACAATCTGTAATAATCATGAGCATCTTTGGGACTCTGGAGCGAGTGTTAGATTTGGAATCAAAGGGCCTTGATTCAAGCCTGGCTCCTCTACTTACACATGTGACTAGAGGCAAGTCCCTTCACCTGTCTAGCCCTCAGTTTCTTCATCTGTAAAATGAAGGTGTTGCACTAGATGGCCTCTGAGGGCTTCTTCAACTTTTAAGGTCCATGATCTTATGATTAATATGTCATTATGTATGAAAGACTGGAGTCCTGCTGATGACAATACCTTTGTCTGCACCAAAATGGCAGCTCTGGAATAGCAATGTTGAATCCCGACTCCTTGAGTCATTGTAGGTCACAAAACATATTTCACCACCTCCGTGGGAAATGTAGATGTCAGTAGACTTGCCCTGCTCAGCCATGACTGAAAGATGACCGATTTGTATGATTAATGGCCAAGACCCCACACTGGTCTCTGTATTGAACTGGGTGTGGAGAGGTGTCTTAGAGAGATATTTCAAGAGACATGCAAGCCTTTACAGACACTCTCCTCCCAAATGATGTCCTTTAGGGAAATTGCTTTGTTAATCCAGAATGTAATCATTGTATTTTCTTGAGTATTCTATAAGCAGCCTGGAAGCATCGACTAGAAGCTACATCTGGTGGCCAGGAATTGATTCTGATATTGAAAAGATAAACATTCTAATAATAGAATGGTTTCCTACTCTCATTTCATTTTTCTTTATTCTTCTCTTTAATTTTTTTTATTAACTGTCAAATTGCTTGGTAGGTATTAACTAAGAAATGCTAAACACTTGTTAATTTATCTTTTTATCATTATATAGTGTCCTTGTCTGACTTTCATTTTTTTCTAATCTGAATGCCATTTTCTTTTATTGCTGCTTCTACTTTTTAAAAAATTTGTTTATTTATTTTTAGGTTTCAACATTCACTTCCATAAGTTTTGAGTTTTAAATTTTCTCCCCTTTCTCAAGAGGTGTGCCATCTGATACAGACTCTACATGTACATTCCTATTAAACATATTTTCACATTAGTCATGCTGTAAAGAAGAATTAGAACCACAGAGAAAAACCATGGGAAAGAAGAAACAAAACGACAAAAGAGAGAGAGAGAGAGAGCAAATAGTGTGCTTCAATCTGCATTTGAACTCCA